CAGAAAAGGGTTTATTCTGTCACACGTTTCACTTCCGTGGTAACCGGTGCTAATTTTAGGTTGTTTGAAGCTATGCCATTGCCAACGTTAGTATGTTGATAATGTGTAGCAGTGTTAAATATAGAAAATGGAAGGAGAAACGAAAATGGGTAAAAAGTCACATTTTAAATATTGTTCGGCACAACGTGACTCAAAAACTCCTGTCACATGCCTAAGTCATCCCATCTCTAAACATATAAAAGAAACTTGTCAAATCAACTCATTTTAAATTATAAAAATCCATCATTCGATTTAAGCACTCATCCCATCCTTCTATACACGCCCCAGCCTATGACTAAAGCAAGTCAAATTGTAGATTCTTAAATTGAAATACATTAAAGCATAAAAAAACCTTAAATCATTTACTTTCATTCCACCCTGATTACTCAATGTCATACAATTTGTAATGAATTTTTCTGAGAAAATGATTTCAACTAGAGACCGAAAAAAATATCAACTAATGCTTTCATTTCATGTGAACTGCCTTAATGAATTAATGAGAAATCTAAGTCTAGAAATAAATTTATTACATTTCTTTCCACTCTTGACTTTCAAAGGAGAATTTAACGAGATACATTTAAATAATGAAAAAAAAAAAAGATATTCTGCAGTCGACCATAAGTCTGTAACAACAGTCAGTTCGTGAAAAGTTACATTCAATTATAAAGGTCATTTGTCTATACTAATTTGCGCTTCTAATTGTTTATGCGAATGTTTTTAAAAATAGCTCAAAACAAGTCATTCAATATAAATTCGCGGGCCTTGAATGTCCTCATTAATTTTCATGAAATAAAATTTATTGCACGTATTAAACTGCGATGATGTGAAATTAATTTAAAAAGTATTCATAATTATGGAAATAAATTTTCATTAAGGGCAAAAGAACGTTTTTTGTGATTAAATCGATAGAAGAAATTAAAAATCTAATTAAACTTGGACTTTGAAATTCTAAATCAATTTTTTTTTGATCTCATCTCAAAAACTTTCTTTTTTTTGTGTTTCCATAAATTTATGAACTTGAGAGGTCACGTTCTTCTTGATGCTGTTTGGTCAGCTTTTTTATTCTATTCATAGAAGCCATGATCTCTAGATATTTTGAGAAAATTTATTCATTTATGTAATGATTTTAATAAGGGCGTGAATTTTATAAATTGTGATTTTGACCCTTCATCATTTTAATGGCAGATCAACATTAAAAATGTCGGTTCTTCTTTGTAGTCAAGCTAAGGTTGCTGGAGTGTCAAATGTATCAAGTCATATGCAAGTGAGAAACGAATCCAGAAGGCTTTCGAGCAGGTAAAAGTTTTAAGTTTTTTGTATCGCTTCTTTCTTTCCATACTCAACCTTGATCATAAAGGACGCATTTTCCCACGTTTTGTAGGTTTTATCTACTATTTCATGAATTATATTTAGCACTTAAGACTATAATATTCCATTTAAACAGGAATATAATCACCACATACAAATTGTAATCCCGTACGGGCTTGAAATATCAATAAACTTGATAAAGTTATTAAGAAAGCAGATTTGAAGCACTCGTACTCGATTACTCGATTTATATCATTTCGTTTAGAGGAAAGTAGACTTTATGTCGAGGTCTAGCGTCACAAGTCAGCTAGCAACGTTAAATCATTAAATTCACCTTATCTTTAAAACTTCCTGAATTTGTCATACCTCTAACGTTATTAGACAGAATGTCTGTCGTGACCATTATGCGCTTATCTGCTGAAAGCGGTGAAATGGAATCAGTGGTATAAATGGTAGAGCGTTGACCTTACGTACCAAAGGTTCTGGGTTCAATTCCAGACCAAGTCAGAAGCTATTTTCCATTTCACCGTTCTAGTAACGAAGCTTGGTTCGTGTGTTGGGTGAAGTTTTGATGTCTTTGACATAGAATGTGCCTCCTTTGTTAGGTATACAAGGATATACCAGCATCTGGATGATTTAATTACAGTTTCTTGAGCACACGAATTGTGACTAGATCCATTGCAGGGTACATCAGGTCTTTAGACGGGCTTGTGTCTTTGCAATGTGCAGAGCTTGGAAGTGGTTCGGATTCCAACACAAACTGTAGATCTAAAGGGTGTGGTACAATAAAATAGAATAGAATGTAATGAAGGGTTTTGCTTATAGCAAAAGCGGCACTGCGATTGATGATCTGTTGTAGCATCCAAAGTCCCAAGTAATGCTGCTTATTTATATCCTCATCATCAGTGGTACAATAGATTCTATTCTAATTTGAATGCCTCCAGCTCAAAAAGGCTGGGCCATCTCCATGCTTTGCCTTTACTCATATGCCGCGACACATTTGTGCAAAATATCGAAAAAGCTTACAAACTATGAGTAGTTTTACTCATTACTTACCATTTAGGTGTACCGTGGTACAAAAAAGGTTGTCCGCCACTGTTTTATTATGTTGAAGAAGATCTGGTGTGTAAGGAATCGTTTTGATTACAGGAGAACCACCCACATCTTGTTTGAACTGTTAAAGAATCTCAGGAGAGGAGGCTTGGAAAATTGGATGTAGTAAGCAGAATGTGATTCAATAGAAAGTTATAATTAATTACCAAAGTATAAATCAATGCATTCATTGATTGTGTAAATAAGCACAGCACAAACTAAAACAAATTCATGACAAATGAAATCTGAATAGACAAATTCCATTGCAATTCAGAATCAATTGACAAATATGAGATCCTATAATATTAGGAAATAAATTGAATATTCCATCCTCAATTCTACATATGATAAAATGTTTTTGAAATCTAACAAAGCACAACATTCATCAAATGGCTAGCAATAAATTCTGAGAAGTTCCATCGATTGACACCAAATATAGATCACAATATGATTTATAATACCCAGATCACATGTATCCAAAGCTGATTGGAATTTATGTGTCCGAATATTTTCACAGCTTATATAGAGATCCAGCAGATAAAGTTTTGCATTAAACTTTTAAAGAATTTTCTTTATTTTTGGATCTCGGTTTATTCTATATTCCAAAAGTTTATCTCAGATTAAATAATCTGTAGCTTAATCACGAATTAGCTTATAAATATTTCAAACCTAACCTCAAGAGAAAATAAAATCAATATTATGGTAAACTAATTAAGTTTCATTGGCATTGAAATAGTTTTTCCAAACTTTTCTCCACAAGAAAAATCCAATTTTTCTTCTTAACTGAAAAGTTTCAGCAACATCAAAGACATTCAAGCTTCCGATTCCGTATTTTCTTTAGACTTGTGTTGAAAATTTAAAAGGAAGTGAACTTGAAAGAAAAGAATTTAAGTCAACGACAAATTCCAATAAAAATAAATGACGGAGAACAACAAAGGCGCCACAAAACTACGCGAATTTCAATAATCTTCTTTATCTCATTCCTCAGTTCCTATTAAAAAATAACAGAAATCACCAGATAATGAAATTATTTCTTAAATTGGAAATTGAAATCACCTTGAGTTGGTCCGATGGATATGAAATTAGGTTCGCAGGGTTTATGTTTAGATGTTTGAGACAGTAGCCTGATCTGCTTCCTTTTAAATGTAGTTATTATTATGTTTGTTGCTTAGCCCAATGTCATCCAAGCATTTTCAAGTTGGCAACACACTCGTGAGGATACATTCTTCTCGAGCAGTGTGGGAACAACATTTCAATTCTGTCGATTGTGTACATATCATGGAAATGTGCAGAATAAATCTCAACTATGGTTTCCTTAAATCTAGATTAAATAACACCTAAATCCTACTAGGGGTAGTACACTTATGACGTCCGAAATTAACGGTCATTTGCAAAAAAGAACAATCGATTTCCAGAAATTTTTGCACCCCCCCCCCCATCCGACCCTTGACGTCATAAGTGAACTTCTTATATGTTTAGACCAAAACACTGATAATCCATAATCTAGATTTTATTAAACATCTCCTAGTATCAAATACAGATCATGCTGCAAAGTCGCAGTCTTGAAATCTATTCCAGACTATAAAAAATGTCTATTCCAGACTATAAAGTCGACTCGAGTTGACTTCGAAAAAATTAAGTCAACTCGAGTCAACCCTTTCGACTTCGAGCTCTGCTATTAATAACTAGGTTTCTACACGCTTAAATACCTTAGAAGGCTTGACATTTAAGCTAATGAGAAATAGTGTCAGCAAAAACTTACAAACAATTTTCACAGATGATGGAAAAAAATTAAGCATGAGGAACTGATTAATTACGTTTTGATGAATTTTAATAAATTTTAATAATTTTTGGTCAGTTCCACATCTGTGAAAATTGTCCTTGAGGTTGTTATCCCCTCAAATTAAAGACTTGTTCATCAGAAAATAAAACAATTTTTAATTTTAAACAATATCCAAAATAACAACTCTGTTGTATTCAATTTAGGTGCAACATAGCCGCGAGAGAGGAACAAGCCGTAACAAAAGGAAAGTAAATAGAACTTTGAAAAGAAATGTAAATTGAGGCAAAAAAAAATAAGAGAAAAAGAAATGAATGAAAGTGAAAGTGAACGATGATGATGATGAAGCTACAAAGTTGAAAATAAAATGAGATAAAAAGTTCTAAGAATATTTCCACAAAGGAACAACGAAAGTGTAAAAGCAAAAAAAAAAGTTCAAAAAAGAAGAAGAGAAGCCTTACTTGTATAAAAAAAGAATAATAATAAGAAGAAGAGAATCCAAAAAAAAATTATTGTGGTTTAATGAAATTCACAATGTCCTAGACAAATACCGAGTTAAAGCAGAACAATAAAATAAGAAGACAAGACAAGTTAAAAAATTAGGAGAATGAAGAAAAAGTTAATTAAAAATGTGACGAGTATAGCGCTTTTGTGGAATTAAAAATATAAATGGAAAGAAGCACATAATGAGAGAGATGGAATATGAGATAGAATGAACCATAATCACAATTTGTGTGATGAAAAAGTTTTGTGAAAATTCTCCAGCAATTAGTAAATTGATTTTTTTTTTTATTCATCTCGAGTGCATGAATCTGTCTCAGTAGCTCTCTGTTAAGTGGTATATGAGGAAGTAGGAGAGAGGACGAGAAGAGCTCAGAAAACATGCAATGGTATTCATTGAATACAATTTGGATGATTGCGATAACAATAGAGCTGACGTCACAATCAGAAATTCTCATTATTCGTCATGGACGCTCTCGTTCTCGACATTCGTCAGAAAAAGAGCATATTCGATGGGGATTAAAAGCACTTGATAATCAAACGATCATAGAAAATCGTGATACATTAGTTGAAAGTAAAGAACAAAATGAGGCAAATGCGGATGTAAATGTCGTTAGCTTCTACGAACATAATGGCACTTTAAGTCCAACTAATGAATTTAATGGATCGATTGGTAGCTATGAAATCAATTACACGTTCGGTCCATCATCAAGAGTGGGAAACTACAACAGTGGAAGCGATGAACGGGGAAACAAAAAACGGCATTTTGATTGGCAATATCATTCGCAAGTTCTACATGAACAGATGCAAACGACAACAGAAATGTCACCGAAACGCTATCCCTCGAAGAAAGTGCCATCAACAGCAGCAACATCACCATTGTACAATGTGAGTCAAGGAAAAAGAAGAAATGGCAAGAGAAAGGAATTTATGACCAATATAAAAAGCACAGTGAATAAAGGAATTCAATATTTGAAAGCTCATGAAAATTTAGACGAAATAGAAATTGAAATAAATGATTACAATACAAGACGTAATCGTGATGAAATGAAACGCACAGAAACGGCAAAAGCCGACATGGTAGCTGTAAAAAGTAATAAAATGCGATCCCAATCGATTGACAAAGCAAAGACGAATAAAATCGAGTCCATGCATTATAAACAGCAAGAGAAAGAACAGCAGCAGCAGCATAAGTATCATTCGCCTAAACAAATCAAAATAAATGGAAATGGCAACAAGGATTTTAGTATAGTTAAGATAACGTCTTCGGAATCGAATGGGAAAGGAGGAGGAGTGAATAATAAGAACAACATAAACCCAACAATAACTACACAACAAAAGTTTAAGAAAAGCAGCATAAATGAAAAGCAAATAACCCAACGGCACGCAGCTTCAAAGCACATAAAGATTCATCAAGCTCATAATGAAATAGATATGAATATAAAGTCTAATTTAGCTGATATCTTTTATGTACCGACATCACCGAAAGAAAATCCAGCATACTACAATGATGAACAAATGTTAAGCGATGAACCAGCTGGCAATGTTGGCAATAAAATGGATATAAAAGAAAGTCTAATGGAAAAATCTAATCAACATAATCAAACGAAAAATGATGCAAATCAAAAACATGATATAAAGAATTCTACTGTTGCTTCTTATAGCTCTCACTCAGCTGTCGGAGGAAAAACAAAACAAAATGCAACACATGCTAATGGATTTAATAATAAAAATACCACCATGCATACAGATAAGGCAAATAAAAGTAGCATTAAAGACTTTAACTCGAGTCCTCACGAATTGCCAACAAATGAAAGGCACGAAGCCAATGTACAGCATTTAGTAAATGATGAGATAAGCAACGATGAGCAGCAAAATGAAGAATTCATCAACTCAATTGACATTCAGAACGATGACACCAGTAATGAGAATACAATCGATTTTGATAGTGAATTTGAGGACAGCACAAATCTCAATAATGTCTTCCACGAAGAGGATTTGGATTTAAGTGATTTAGATGAAACGAGTCGAAATAATCGTAAAAATTTAATGCGCGGTCGTGACGTTGTCACTCGATTCTTACAAATTGTTGAAAGTCAGCATATGCTTGGTAATAATTGTACTGCAGGTACAGCACTTAATTTAGGTGAAGGTGTGGTGGATCGATACGCACAAGATCGCTTTCGTGTTGAAGCTGAAGTGGCTGTTAATCGTGCAAACATGCTGACTAGGTAAGTTAATCTATTTTAATTTTAGTCAGACAATAATATACATTTGGTGACATACTCATAATCCTGTGTTAAGCTCTTTCTCTATAATTGACATCGATTCGGAAATGAAAACAAAGGAAAAGGACATTAATAGGAAAAAGGAAGGAATAAGTTTTTGTCGCCCTTTAATTTTCTATAACAAAAAACTTTCTTTCCCTCTTCCTTCGTCTGCAACATCTCCTTTCTTTTCAAATCGTGTCTAATGTTTATTTCTACTTTATATTCTTTGATCAGAATTGTATAAGTCCATTGATTTTCTTTGCTTTTCTCAGTTCGAGACGAGTTTCTAAATTCTTTTATGAATTTGCTGAGAATGATTAAAGGGGTCGGAAGCAAGTGACGTCTATAAGAGACTTGCCTTCTTAATGTCGTCTGAAAATAGCTATCGTTTTACTTGAATAATGATGTTACTATCAGTATCATCCTTATATGAGGATACCCCCCCCCCCCCCCCCTCTCGATATAGTCTCAGACTCGAAAGTCATGCTTATTAATTAAATCAAAAAGAATGGAGACTATTCAAAGATTTGCAAAAATTCCAAAGGACATGACGTCATTTATAAACGCCCCATAAGCCCAAGAAAAAGGTACAAAATAGATAGAAGTTAACCGATTTACAATCGAAAATCTCCATCGCAATAATCAAGAAAAAGGAGGAAGAAAGTTACTGCGTAAGGACAAATATTCGATTCGTTCTATATCCTTCAATGGATTACAAAAAAAAAATTGAGACTTTAGTAGAATTCTAACAAGAAAATCCTGCAAATTTATTTACGCAACCCAAAGCACAGTGGGAGGAATAACATAATATGAGAGAATCTGTACAAAATACTTAACATTCTTTTCTAACATAACTTTGTTAATAAACTTTTTTTGGCTTGTCTCTCTCCACCTCCTCACAACTTGTCTCCATCTTGTTTCCACGAACTAATTCGATTCTCATTCTCCTTTGCCTAACAACTTCTTTTAAAATAAGAATTTTCTTTTTTTCGAGAGCAAATAATCTTTTAAAAGATTTTTATTGTCAGATAAGAATGAAAAGTGGCCTAAAAATTTATGCCTTTTAATGATGCAATAAAACTTTTTCTTTAAATTCATATTTTGTTCCACCCAATCCTCCACTTTTGTTATCATCGTCTTCATGACTTATACATACTCTATCTCGTCTATTATACTCTATATCTCTTATGATTCTAACAGCTCTTTGCATAAGATAAAAATTTATATTATTTTGGCTATGATGAGTGACTAAGACGCTTTCTCTGGATACACAGCTGATACCGAGAATTCAGCTTAGGAACTTAATAGCTTTTCTTTAGAAACTCAAATTTTAAAACCACAAGAAGTTAAAAGTTCTCAATTTAAGTTGTTACTAGAGCGTTGGCCTTCCCTGCCAAAGGTCCTGGGTTCAATCCCAGGCCATGTCTAATTTTTGAAGCTCTTTTTTCCATTTCACCGTTCTAGATACGAAGCTCGGTTCGTGTGTTGGGTGTAGTTTTAAGGTCTTTGGCAAAGAATCTCTCTCCTTTGCTAGGTATACAAGGATATACTAGCATCTGGATGACTTTCTAACGGCATCTTGCATACACGAATTGTGACTAGGTACATTGCAGGGTACATCAGGTTTTATGACGTACTCGTGTCTTTGCAATGTGCAGAGCTTGCAAGTGGTTCGGATCCCACTATGAACTATTTAGGTTCATTCAAAGAGTGTGATACAATAGATTCTTTACAAATTGAATCGCAGTGCCTCCAGCTGCAAGGCTGCACTATGGGCCAGAAATGGAAAATTTTTCCAAAAATTATTTCTACAGCTTATATGATAGTTCTTATTATGCCCTACATTTACGTCCTTAAAACTTTGCTCAAGTCGACAGCATGTCCGAGATATGGCACTTCAAAGTTGGTCAGACGACCATTTTCACGTTACATTGAAAATGCTCTCACCAGATACTGGATAGATGAATCTCCTTCAAATTTTTTTTGTTAATAGCTTTAAATAGTTACTTTGTTTTAAGATATAAACAATTGCAAATAACTTTGAAAAATTTTGTGAAAAACTAGATTTTTCTCAAAAACCACGTGTTCGTCATACTTTCGTTTGTGTAGGTCTTCACAAGCACAACCAAAGTTACTAATTTCTTTTTTATATTAAAGATTACATCAAAAGCTATAACTTTTGCATACATGTCGTATAATTTTAACAAAGTTTTGATAGTGAAAAAAAAATTTTTTATAAAAAAAACAACAATTTTTTGACAAAAATCGCTGTAGTGCTTCAGGGATACCCATGGTAGTGGAATTTTATTTCACATTTAGAAAGCTCTCTAGATATGCTATCAATTAATGCAATAAAATGAACAAGTGTTCTCTTGGCAAAGAGCACTTTTTTGACTCTGAAAGTCGTATGTCGAGCAAGGTCAAAAAAGAAAAATAATCATAAAAATTTCAGTTTTAAATAAAATTTAATTTTTTTAATTTAGATTGATAGATCTTTTTAAAACGCGTCTTTTGAGTATAAATATGTTATAGTTTTGTCAAGTTTCGTGATCATTTTTTTAAAAAAATAGTTTTTTTCAAAAAAAAAATTGAAAAATAAAGTATTTGACTTTAGAATTTTATAAAATGCATCTTTTTGTCATTTTTTTCACTACTTTGTCTAGTTTTGCTCCTAGTTTTTTTCCTAAACATAAATCAATAAGAACTTAGCATAATTGAAGCCATTTGGAGGTTAAATTGAGTTAAAAATCGTTTAAAATTTTTGTATTTCTCAAATAGTTCTTTACACAAGTATCTAAGATATAAAGTGTTGCATAGTTTTGAAAAGGTATTGAAATTTCCAATATGTTAACATGAAAAGTTTAGGAAAATTTTCAAGTAATATAGTCAATTTGGGTAAAAAACGCATTTTATATATGCTAGTTTTTAATGTTTTTCGTTTTTCTCAGCAAAGACTTTATGAAAAACTCTCAAAGTTTGCACTTTTATTTGTTATATAAATGTTAATGACTCGTAAAAGTTTTGGAATTTTCCATTGAGTTTTTCATTAGTTCTCCTAATCTGAAATTTTCACTATTAAATTTTCGTTTTTCTCAACAATTGCGATTTTTTATTTATAAATAAATATCTTATTTTGTTTCATTTTTCAATATCTTTTCATTGATATGTAACAATCTACAAAAAAATTAAGACTAAAGAGAAATGAATAAAAAAGTGTCAAAAATGTATGAAAATTCTACGCTATTTTAATTTTTTAAGCCTTTTATGGTTAATTTTACTAAGTTTTATAAGAGTGTTATACCTTTTTTTGCAAATGTATAGCGAGACAAAAGACAGTTCCATATGAAGAAAACCAGATATTAGTTTTAATGCTATTTAAGCTATAATATTAAGCTTTTTCATTTACTTTTGTTATAAATGTTTCATGTAATTAATAGCAGCCTGAAGATATAATTTAAAGCTTTTAAATAATTTAATTTTAATAAATTCAAAATTTTTGGTTGTCGCCAACTTGAAGCTTATTTGACTTCAGTTGTGCTTAGCGTAGACTCATACGAATTTTGGTGGATGAACGTCTTAAGCTATACATTTGCAAAAAAAGGTATAACACTCTTATAAAACTTAGTAAAATTAACCATAAAAGGCTTAAAAAATTAAAATAGCGTAGAATTTTCATACATTTTTGACACTTTTTTATTCATTTCTCTTTAGTCTTAATTTTTTTGTAGATTGTTACATATCAATGAAAAGATATTGAAAAATGAAACAAAATAAGATATTTATTTATAAATAAAAAATCGCAATTGTTGAGAAAAACGAAAATTTAATAGTGAAAATTTCAGATTAGGAGAACTAATGAAAAACTCAATGGAAAATTCCAAAACTTTTACGAGTCATTAACATTTATATAACAAATAAAAGTGCAAACTTTGAGAGTTTTTCATAAAGTCTTTGCTGAGAAAAACGAAAAACATTAAAAACTAGCATATATAAAATGCGTTTTTTACCCAAATTGACTATATTACTTGAAAATTTTCCTAAACTTTTCATGTTAACATATTGGAAATTTCAATACCTTTTCAAAACTATGGAACACTTTATATCTTAGATACTTGTGTAAAGAACTATTTGAGAAATACAAAAATTTTAAACGATTTTTAACTCAATTTAACCTCCAAATGGCTTCAATTATGCTAAGTTCTTATTGATTTATGTTTAGGAAAAAAACTAGGAGCAAAACTAGACAAAGTAGTGAAAAAAATGACAAAAAGATGCATTTTATAAAATTCTAAAGTCAAATACTTTATTTTTCAATTTTTTTTTTGAAAAAAACTATTTTTTTAAAAAAATGATCACGAAACTTGACAAAACTATAACATATTTATACTCAAAAGACGCGTTTTAAAAAGATCTATCAATCTAAATTAAAAAAATTAAATTTTATTTAAAACTGAAATTTTTATGATTATTTTTCTTTTTTGACCTTGCTCGACATACGACTTTCAGAGTCAAAAAAGTGCTCTTTGCCAAGAAAACACTTGTTCATTTTATTGCATTAATTGATAGCATATCTAGAGAGCTTTCTAAATGTGAAATAAAATTCCACTACCATGGGTATCCCTGAAGCACTACAGCGATTTTTGTCAAAAAATTGTTGTTTTTTTTATAAAAAATTTTTTTTTCACTATCAAAACTTTGTTAAAATTATACGACATGTATGCAAAAGTTATAGCTTTTGATGTAATCTTTAATATAAAAAAGAAATTAGTAACTTTGGTTGTGCTTGTGAAGACCTACACAAACGAAAGTATGACGAACACGTGGTTTTTGAGAAAAATCTAGTTTTTCACAAAATTTTTCAAAGTTATTTGCAATTGTTTATATCTTAAAACAAAGTAACTATTTAAAGCTATTAACAAAAAAAATTTGAAGGAGATTCATCTATCCAGTATCTGGTGAGAGCATTTTCAATGTAACGTGAAAATGGTCGTCTGACCAACTTTGAAGTGCCATATCTCGGACATGCTGTCGACTTGAGCAAAGTTTTAAGGACGTAAATGTAGGGCATAATAAGAACTATCATATAAGCTGTAGAAATAATTTTTGGAAAAATTTTCCATTTCTGGCCCATAGTGGGCTGGACCCTTCACACATTATTATATTATTAGGTTGTTTTCTTGTCATGACATCAAGCTGATTCCGACCCAATCTAGGAGAAATAAGTATTTTATCGTGTGTTTGTCTCCTGTCTAAGGAAGCAAGTAAAGCTTTTTGTGCTAGAATTATTAGTAAGTGATCTAAAGAATGAATTTACTGAGTAACTTGTCTCGACCGAGACTTAAGCCAGCAATCTTGTGGGATTTTGAATCGCATACTCAAGTTTATCATTTTGTCAAGCACTAAGCTATCGAGGGCTGCTTGTAAACTTGATAAATTGTCAGATTATTTTAATGAATCTGTTTTTAACAGGAGCTTTGATGTTATCCATCAAACTGCTATACTTGGGAACTTTTAACAGCCTTACTCGACTTGGTAAACGTCTTGGCTTGGCCATTGATTTGCTCCATTTATTTTTAATCAAGATATAAAATTTCCAAAGACTATAAAATCCTCACTTTTAGTTCTCATCTGAAATAAATTATTTGGAGCCAAATAATTATAATAACAAAGACATTCTTTCCAAAATAATTGAGCACTCCTTCCAAAAAATATGCTCTAAAAAGTTGACTATCAAAAAGAAAAGAAACTTCAAAAATCTTTTGTGACAAATTGCGGACGGAAAATTTTTAGACATTCAATTTATATGTTCATACTTCTTTCATGCTCTCCCTTTTTTCTCGACAATTTTACCTACAAAAGAAAAGAAATTTCCTTCAACCATGCATTACAATAAGTAAATACAGAGGAATGAGAGGACGCAAAAAAAAAGTTTTTCATAAATGTAGAGAAAAAAACTTTCTTTTTTTTCTGTGGGATTAATGTTACTTTACTTGAGACCATAGCCACATTCTTGAGTCTGTCCATAGATATTATGGTTGAGATAACTTTTTTTTCCCTCCATAAAAGTGAAGAGTAATTTTTCTGTGGAGAAGTACTTGTCAATTTGCTTCTTTTTACTCGTTTATAATAATGGATGACGTAGAAAATAAGTAGAGCAAAAAGAGTTTTTAAGAATGCTTTGTGGATGAGTCTTCAGATCCATTCTTTCTGCATAAATATGAAATGAATAGCTTGAAATTGAATTGTGATGACGACAGACGAAAGAAAAGTCATATCCCGAGAGAGAATATGTGTATGATTTGAGTATATGTTAAGTTTCATTAGAGGTGTATCCAGGATTAAGCATATTCAAATGAAATGAAATGTTATTCTTATAAAATAATTTATTATTGGCATCCAAATTTCGTTAAGAGTCCTTTGCAAGTGATCCAGTACTTTTGTAGAGCAATTAAAAAGATGCATGGTTCAAATCTCGTTCAATAATTCTAACATTGTCGGTTCGAATCCCAAAATTTCTAAAATTGCTTGCTGCTTATTGTTCGAGTTTAGGTAGGGTGACCATCTGCGTAGTTTTACAACGGACAGTCCTGTATTTCAAAACCCTGTCCTGTATAAATTTGAAAACTTTGTTCCAGGTCCTGTATTTTTTTCACGAAAATTTCCGTTAATTTTCGAATTTTACTCTATGTCCTGTATTTTTCGAAAATTTTTACCAAAAGTCCTGTATTTTCATGAAAATTAGATGGTTACCCTAAGTTTAGGGTAATGTTAAAGCCCTGAGTTACGGTATCGATAATGCATTTAGATATTATGCTTAGAACGTGTCTCCTGGTTATAACAACTCCTAATTGGACCCGAATATAATTAGCTCCAATGGCTAGAATTCAAAACAAATCGCCCAGATGAACATCCGAGTCAGAAACTTAGAAATTTTGCTAATAAATCTCATAGAGAGCTACGAGACTGTAATACAAACAGAATCAAATGAAAATCCATACTAATACTAATGCTGCATACATCCCTGCTATGCACACATTCTTAGTAAATTCTCATGAGCTTAACGGAGGAAATGAAATGTAAATAAAGCTTGATATGCGTAAAGAAATCACAAAAAATTTTCCTAAACATTACTTTACATGCACACATACTCCCTATTCTATCCTACATATATGTACAATTTTTCTATTATTTTCCACATGATTTTTCTCATTCCCTTCTATTCAATCCATTTTTAGAATTTTTAAAATGTCTCCAGCTGTGCAAAAGGACATTAATTTACTTCATGCCTCTGTTCTCTCAATGGTGGAATTTGATGAAGATATTTTCGCTGCAGGTTGGTTTGATTTTGTATTTTTAAGCCTTACTCATTCTCATTGTTTAATCTTGATTAAGTGGATGATGGTGAGCGAGAACGAGAAATATATAAAGTATGTGAAAAAAAATCTTTTCAGGTCATTGTTTCGATGAGAACCAAAACCCACTCAAAAAAGGTCTATTCTGTCCATTTGCGCATCGTTTACCGCCACCTGAAATAGCGAGTTTAGCAAAGGATTTGGCAAATGAGTATCATTACCTCGGTAATACATCGGAATGGTTTTTCCTTGCACGTAAGAATGCGGAAAAGGTGATTGCAAAGAACGAGCAATATATAAAAGGTAAAATAAAATTGAAACATTCTCATTTTATTGTGGATGGAGCAAGGGGGAAACAACATAGTGGAAAAAATTTTGATGGAAATTTTCATCGATTTCTTAATATATTTTGCTGGAAAATGGAAGGAAAATTAAAAAAATTTCCCATTAAAAAATTTTCTCATCATGTTGTTTCCCCCTTCAGTATGGAATGAGCCAAACGTATTGTTATTATCTCTTTCATAAATTTCTATATGTATCACACATCTAGTCGTGTTTATGGTATGGAGACTCATAAACAAAGGTTCAGAAAAAAAAATGTCAGAACCAAAACAACAGCCAGCAGCAGCTATATCCTCCCATACATGAACAAAATCCCTTTTTTTCTATAAACAACAAAAAAAAAAGCTTTAAATTTATGATATGGTGGTGTTAACGTATTTCTCTATACATGAATAATAGCTTATATATTCAGTAACCGAGCAATATTTCATCAATCACACGACTTTATTCATATGACGTTCTATGGGTAATTTGAGATATCAATACATACAGATTCATGCATAGACGCAGACATTTATGAAATATTTATGAGATTGAACGTTTTTAGTCCACAAAGCCATGTTTATGATTCATATCATAGCGGGGAAGAGAGATTTAGGTTTAATATGAAAATGAATTAGTAACGACGATAAGAATAGATGCAAATTTAGCACCACAATAAGGAGTAACGACAGACAAAAGGATTTCTTTTTTCCGCTTATTTAGCATCATCCGTTTCTTCATTATTTTTATGGCTTAAAATTTCATGTTGGCTTATCTATAAACTCCCATATGTATATTCATGTAACAGACTTCCATATGGATTTATTTTCTTATTTAAGACTTTCCTAAAATAATATCATTTTCGTCTATTCCTTCTTCTTCTGCCTCGTTCTCGTCATTTTTTGTCACAAGATACTTTTTGGAGAGAGAAATTCCCAACAGTGGTGAATCTAGAGTTACTTGTCGTTCAAAGGTAGGAATTAAACCAGTAGTTTGAAAGAAGTAAATGCACTTTTATTGCATAGATCAAAGGAAAGTCATATTCAAGTCATGACTGGAGTCATAAACAAAGATCCAGTAGGATCTATAACAAAAACTAAGATCCAGTAGGATCTATAACCAAAACTAAGATCCAGTAGGATCTATAACCAAAACTAAGATCCAGTAAAATTTAAGTCATGTAAAGAACCAAATCCCGAAATTTAAATACGAATCCAAAAGTCAATACAGCTTCACCCCTGTCTCCCTCTTATCTACATATTCATTATTGTCTCTGTGTATTGTTACGGAAGGATAAAAGCACAACAGAATTTTTGAGCATTTAGTCCATATGTGACTTGATGCCAAGACTAAAAAAGAAGAATCAGAGGAAGCACACGACTCGTTAATACTTGTAATTTTTTACAATCATGCTGAGCACATGTTATTTAGGTCAAACTTTTCTAAAAGAGCAATTGCTTACATTATTTAGCTTTCAGTACTTTTTCTCATTCTCTCATGTCTCTGTGTTTAAAACGATGCAATCAGTAGCAGCAAACAAAGATGAAACTTTGTATATGTGCATGCAAAGAATGTCTTTTGAAATTAATCTGCTCCTACCTATCAAGGAAGAAAATCGACGACAGCGATAAAAGCGAAACTGTTAAAAGACAAAAATGTCAAAAAATGTTCTTTTTGTCTACCGTTTCAAGAGTAGATAGGAAAAGGAGCAGCGGAAACAACTCAGACGTGGATGATGTTTAATAAAACTTAAGCCAATTTAATAGACATTTGCATTAATATTGTCGTATGATAAATTTATAGCTGCAGTTGAGCGATACCGGAACACATGTTGAGAGGATTTGTGGAATTTTCTTTAAATGTTGTGTCTCTTCCTGATGAGAATAAGCTATTATGCTATTTACTTTATCGCGATCTTTCAAGCAATGATTTACGATGCACTACTAAAGATGCTGATGTGTCGTTTTTTAAAAGTTTTGAAATTACTATTCAATATGATTGTTATAAATCAGTGATGGCCAACCAATGTGCCGCGAAAAAATCAGAAAATTCCACATACCGTAAGCTGTGTCGGTCATGGATTATCACTAAAGTGTGCCGTGACCAAAAAAAGGTTAGACACCACTGCTATAGATGGTTCACACAACCTCACAAAAATCAGTTATCGTTTTGATGACTAGCCACTTAGCCACGGAGGTTTAAGCTTTCATTTTGATTGGCTGATTTGTTGATATATGGCACGATTCCATTAGCTTCATATTGTCTCGATACCACAAAATTACTTTTTATTACTGTTCTATGATGAAGCTTGCTGAACTAAAGCCAAATTATAGACGTGCATTATATTTCTTGATTATCCGAATCTATGATACTGAAATAGTTGTTGTTGATATAGTCGAGCAGTTAGAAGGGAGGGTCGCCAAGATTTGGTCCATAGCAATGGTTTATCAATGTTACTTAATAATCATTCGAAGTTCAGAAGCTGAGCAATTGGTTTTGGTTCAACAATTTCATATTTAACATTGTGACATACCCAAATCCCAATAGCATGTCTATAAACTTTCTGAAAAATTAAGATTTCATAACTTTGGCTCCCAAACCTTACTTCCATTCCTCCCAGATAATCAAAATCATATTTATCACAACTTTTTTTCTTTCTTCTACAGCTTATCATTCGTATACCAATGATTCCGAGCGTCATGCGACGGAAATATTATCCGTAAAATATGAAGATGGGAGATGGTCGAAGCCTTACTTTGATTGTGGTATGTAGTAAATTAAGAAACACATTAGAGTCAATAAAATAAAACTACATTTCCATTATACATGTTTTATCTTCCTTTTATCGCACAAATAAATTTCATACACATTTAATCTTTATACTTAATCTTTTCAATGCAGGTGGTGGCAATATCTGGATGCTAACGTATACAGTTCCATTTTTTGGCTACGAAAATGGCACATATTTTTTCAAGTAAGTTAAATAAACACTCTTTTCATTTATTTTGTGCCAACATATCTTTTGAATTACTACCAAATGCCATTATCGGCTTTTTCATTTTCGTTTCTATTATCAGCAAATATTTAGAATGAATTGACTTTAGGTATATTCAGACCGTGTGAATTGAGTGGGATTTTTGGAACATTTTAGTATTGGCTGTTACTAATTACTAGTTACTAGTTACTATGAAGGTTGCTCATTTGATGGACATGCTTCCTTACTTATTTCCTTGGCTGGGGCGCACGTGGGCCCATTACGCGCTTAAAACACGTCTAAAGACAGCTCCATCCTTCGACATCTTTTGCCAGTTCGGTATATTCAGGACTCTAGTCTTTCTTTTGCTCTCTTTCTATCCACAAAGTCTGCTAGTGATGGATTTAATGTACATAATTAGATAAATATTTTGGAGTTGTTGAATTGAGGCTGACAAAAGCTAGCATTGTTTGCTTAAAATCATGAAGCAGGTCAGAGAATACAAGAGGTCCCGAAAAAAGCTTTACCAGGTCATTTAAGTGTCCTTCCTCTGATCTGGTCATTACTAGCTTTAAGTGCATCTTAAATCACCATCCTACAAAGTTTCATCATTTTAATTCCAATAAAAATTCTGAATTGCTTTCAAATTGTTCTAATTAATATTCCAATATAAGTCCATATAGACTCTAAGCATTCATTTGACATACGCACTGCCTTACAATGTTGACATTATACAATAATCTGCTAGGCATACACAAACGATGTCATTTCTAATGAAAAAAAAGGCACAATTGAGTACGGTTTGAATATGACCTATGATTCTATAGATTTATTTCCTTTTATTAAGCTCCTCGCATTTTCTCCTATTTATTGATGTGTAGGAGGAAAAAAAGGCAATATTCAATAGAAGCCAATAAGCGAAATAATTCGATTAAAGGCTTGCGAAATAATAAAATTAAATCTCATGCACACCAAAAAAAAGGAAAACTTTTTGTTCACACTCCATCTCTCTTTTTCACACTCGATCAGCCAAAAGTCCAAAATAGCTTGAAATCGAATCAGCGAGAAAAAAAATTCCTACACCATTAACTAAAATTCAATTTTAAAAACAATTTCTAAACTTTTTGTGCGCAACATTTTTTTTTTGTTTTATTGAAAAGACTGTAAAGTCCTCGTAAATAAGTAGTTTAGGCGCTTTTTTATGGTTATTGAATTTCGAATCCCAATAAAAGTAGATCTACATGCAAGATAAGAATTCTGAGCGTTCTATAAATGCCTTTAAATTGAATTATACCTTTTACTATATGGTTGGCTGTTATTTTAAGCCTACAGCAATTTTTAAGATTACTCCGTGAATTTTATTATTGTTGAAAATATTGAGGCTATGACAGTTTCCAGAAGTAATAAAAATATCTGGTAAATGCCAACATTAGTGGAGTATTGCGTTGAAGCAAGGATTTTGTGAGTCTGTTTTGCAGACTGTGTGCAATGAAAATTCTTTTGTGGACTACGAGAAAATACCAACTCTGAAGTGTGCTGTGGCTTAGGTTAGCTTAACCATATCTCATGTCGAGGCTCCATGTTAAGACAATACGACTAGCAAACCTTGTTAAATTTCTTTCCAAATCCAACACTGTTGTCCATCAGCAATCCATATGCTGCATAGAACCATTTCCTTTGCTGACATTGATATGTCCCAGATATGCCTAAAAGTCTAATAGACGCAGCTTTTTTTTTGTCCTGGCAATAACAATGTACATTGAGTTCCATCTATCAACTCATTCTATTTTACATATTTTCAAATGATAGATACCACAATCACCAAAGTCGTCTATAGCTTTTTAAACAATATCGAATATTCCCATAGGAACATTAGGAGCTATTCGTTTGTAAGGTAACAGAAAAGTACTTTTTTAAGACCTTCACTTCTTATGGTACAAAAAAAAAAATCTTTTGAAAATTTAACTTTCCTATACAAACAACCTACCCCCCCCCCCCCCCAATCGAATGTGATAAGAAATGAAATTAGTAAACTGCATCCAAAGGAATGTTCGCTTATTAAGTTTGTTTTCGAAGATCTATGATTCGATGACATTCAAGCTGACAAAATTGGAAACCACGCGAAAGTTGTAACTGTAATAAGATATTTGAATAATATCTAGAGAGCTTTTTTTTTATCTTCAAACAAAGAAACATCGTGTTATTTTAAAATTATGTGAATTAAACAATTAATAAGGCGAATAAAACTGCGAAATATATAATTAAACAATTACAACACATTCAGGCGTATTATACAATTCAATTTAAGCCAAATCTTTATTTAATTACAGAGATATTGGCTAAAATATATATTTAAAGGTTTTATCACCTAAGGTGTTAAATTATTATCCCTTAGAGCCTTTTAAATTCATTTATGGCGTTTAATTCACATTCAATGGCGTTTAAAATATACTAAAACCCACTTAAAAAATCAAATTAAGTGAATAAATTATTGTTAAAAAGATCCAGTGGACATAACCACAACATCCAGGATCTTAAAAAATATTAGATCTGCATTTATTTCATCGCTCAAACATTTCATGCTACAAAGTCGAGGTCCTAGAAATTATATTTTCACGTTACATAATAAAAGAACAACCCCCAAAACAGAATGGAATATTTCAACAACATTGGCTATGTGGGTTGTGATCCCAGATGGTTGCTAAGCTTATGACAAAATAAAAAGAAAGAAAAAAGAGACGAAAATTGAACAGACAAAATGTGAGCACAAATGTTTTGCCATCTGAAAAAAAAAACATCCTAAAAAATTGAATTATACACCGCTGAAATAAAAAAGAATCACGAGGATGAAAAGAAAACCAATTGTGGCATTTGAAAAAATAATTTAATATAGAAAGGTCTCACTCTATGCAGACGAGATATTTTAAAAAATGCTGAAGCATAAAAAATTGAACTTTTCCACTTTTTCACGAGATTTATTCAATAAAAAAAGGAATTGAAATAATAAAAAAAAAATGTTTTTTCGCTTATCTATAGAGGAACATCAGGCATCGATATAGATTTGCGTAGAGTCGACATTGATCAATGTCCGCAAAAAAATTCAGGCGCTCTCGAAAAACAGCCATTGAATATTTTCGCCGGAACTGATAAATGCAAACAAAGAACGACTGAGGTAAAAAAAATCGGTTTTTTTTATCATTTTTGATGTGTGTGCCTAATATCAAGTAAATGTACTAACAAAATTTTCATTGCCTTTCCAGTGCTCTCCAATATCAGGACTTGGCTTTCGGCGAGGGTCTTATAAATGCGTATGTTGTGTTTTACTTTTGAGGCTAAAACATTTTTTTATTTATTCCACATTTTTGCTCTCGTTCAATGTCAAATTACAGATATGTAGGAGGGGATATTACTTTCCGGATGTCAAGTCTGAATTAAAATATTTTAATGGAACGAATTTGGAAGAAGAATATGCTAAATGGATGCAGGTATGTTTATATCTTTTGAAAATATATTGTTTATAAAAAAATCAATATTGACGATTCTTCTGATATTGATTGTGCAGCATCTCTAATAGGAATTAATATTGACAGGCGAAAAACAAATGTGAATATGGAAAATAGGAAGGAAGTCATAATTTTAGACAGACAGATTTTTTTGAGTTTCTCTAAGTGAATTGTCAAGAACGAATGAAAATTATATTCATGTTACAGGATAGCTCTAGTAATATTTCTGGATATTATATGGTCCGTAATAGTTTTAAATTCAGGTTGTATAAGTTTCAGATGCCATCATTAAACTGATACACTTAAGAAGTCGAAATATCTAGACTTCTAGATATTATTCTGGGATTTGAACCTTGAATTCAAATTAAACACTCATTTTCGTGGTTTGAGACTAGCTTATTCAGCTAACACGGCAGTTTTGCTTATCAAAATTAAACAGTTTAATAACTTGCTGGTTTTAAAACAAAATTGAACATTTGTGAAAATCTCTTGAGGCAGTCAAGCTTGTGTCACACTCATTTTAAGAAAATGTGTCTTAAACAAGTTCAACGATCAAAAAATAAATTTAATTCTCATAATTGGAAAATACGAAAAATTTGTCGCGAAAGAAAGTCATAACTAGGTCACAATTTTTAAATCCCCAAGTAATTTGAACAACATTTACATAATATTGAAAAAGCGGTCATAAATGTCATACAAAGACAAGCTGTCTATCAGAAATGCTATGCATCTTTCACTCTGAATTAAATTTTTTTTATGAACTGTAATCCATAAAACTTCAGATGCTTTATGCTTTTTTATGTGTATGTATGAAGGATATCAAGTTTGTAGCATTTGACTGAGTGATGATGATATTTCAAATATTTGGAATATTAGGTGTGAGCATAAATACTTTAAAATATTACAGTAATTTAATGACATTTCTTAAGATCAAATCAAGGGCTAGGAAATTAATTTTTGCATGGACTAAGGATGACTCCTAACCTGGGTGCCATTTACAAACGACAAAAAATTCAATTTACAATGTTTAAAGTGTTTAACGGATGCCAAATCATATGCACATGCATCACATGAAGCACAAATTTTGATTGAGCCGCGAATGATGTAAATCATTATCAAGAGATTGACTAGACTGATATAGAATATATTTAATAGTCATTCAAATTTAAAAGAATATAAGAACATTAACATGAAATAGCCCTGGAATTGTTAAAAAAATAAATTCAACAGCTGTCCAGCAATCATAAACTAGTTAAATTAATTTTCATCACGTTCATCATTTCGTTACTGAATATAGGCTGGAAAGTATCTTGTGAGCTTTTATTTAAAAATTATCGTTGATAATGTAAAGCTTCATATCACACTCAATGAAACAATTTGTCTTGCAACACACTTTTTCAATCAAAATCATTCAGCAGAAAACCTAGAAAATATTTTATAATGTCGTGGAGCAAAGGTTGAGCATCACCATGATGTGTCGTGGACAATTGTTCGAGCAGCACTGCCACAAGAAATGCCTTGCATCAATACATTTACCACAACATAAAGTCCGATTAGATATATTCTACTGAATTTGGATATGCCTATGTTTTTACAACTGGATGCATTCAGTAACTCTCAAAATATTAAATTTACAAATTAAATAAATTTTATTTGTTTTGTTTTCATGCTGAAAGTTGTTATTGAAATGGAAAAATACCATTTTAAATAAATGATATTCAGCACAATGGAAAACCGCAACCACGGCAAATAGTTGAAAATTGTATTTACATTAAAATATACTACAGTTTTAATGTTTTTATTACGCGAGATAAAATTATACAGTAGATGAATGAAATTTACTTCAACTTGCCGTAACATTTCATTTAAATTTATTCACAAGATGAATATATTAACTTCCATACATTCACATTTGTATGTTTAATACAAAATAAAAGTTCATCCATAAAAAGTTGTAATTTATTTATAGCAAATAAATTCAACATGCGGATATAAATTAATTTTTTATGATCGCACATGAGCAATTTTGTAGGGATGATATCTTGTAGTATTCAAATTCCCATAATTCCCTTAACAATGATAAATGTTCACAAGTTCAAAAGTTTCAAGAGAGGTCACGCATATAATATGACAAAAAATATGCTCACTGATTTTATTAAATTAAATCATATTTTGTTCTGCTTTGTAAAGTCGACTATAGTCGTAGTGTTTGTAAAAAAGAGGGAACAAGTAATAAAGTTTGTGAATGAACAGGCTGGAAAACGCAGTTTTCTTGATAACTTATTATCAAACCTGATACACTACATCAGTGTTGTCCAAACTGTGTGTCGCGGCACATTGGTGTGCCGTAGAAATTATTTGGAAATGACGCGAGCAGCCTGTTGTATGCGATTTTGGTAATGGCTTACCCCTAATGTGTGCCGTGGCTCAAAAAAGTTTGGACAACACTGCCCTATATCGACTTACTTCCGTATAAATACTTGCTGCCTGTATAGAAATGTTTGAATTCATAGAATGCTCATTGTTTGGTTCTGTAAGGCCGTGAGCATTGTTCGAATCCTTGTCATATCAACAACACTCTATTTATTGAGGAGTCGGGTTTTGGTAGGAATCGAACTCATGTTCTCACAAGAAGGGGTTACAGATATTCAGTATGTTGCCAAACCACTTGCGCTCCAAAGGCATTAATCTCACGCTCGAAGATTTGCCTTTATATGGCTCCATATCCTAGATTCCACTCTGCTACGACAGCTTAGGTAAAAATTAACATGCAGTCAAAGTGTATGTTTCTGAATTTTACATAGAAATTTGCATCAAAAATGCTCTCAACACAAGAATGAAAAGAACAATGTCATAGCATTGTTATGAAGTCCTTTCATCGAGTCAAAGCTACATTTTTTCTACAATATAATAATAAATGAAACATTTCAGATAGTCAAAGCAAAAGGATCTTATACATAAACAGCATAATGTTGATATTTGCAATTAAATTTTATTCCATAAAAATATTCTTCATTCCTCTTCTTTTTAAGCCTGTCATTCTCTTCTTTTCTTGATGTTTATTTGCGACTTTCCTCTTCGTTCTTTCCTTCCTTCCTGCCTGCTTGCCTTTCCTCCAACAAAACATATTCGACTTTATTCTCATAACAACTACAATATTGCCCATACACTTTTGTTTTATGTCTGTCAAAATTGAAGTAAATCCTATTAGAGACTACTTTTGCCATCGCACAATCATTTTAGGTTCTTACATTCTGTGGTGACAGTGTCCTATGAATGATTTTAATGCGATGACAAGTCAATTAAATGAAATTTATCTTTCTATTTCTTTCTTTTTCTTCCTGCCATGTATCTACTTAATTCTATTAATAGAATGAACCGTCTTCCTACATAGAACCAATGTCTTTCGAGTGTTTACCTTGTGCTGAAGGTTGTGATATCTGTGAGGACTCATCGCCGTGCGTTGCAGAGCTAAATTGGCCGATGAGAATGAGCATTTTAATTTTAGCGTGTGCGGTTATAGGATTTTTACCTCCAGCTGCTTATTTTACATTTCGTTATCAACAAGTAAAGGTAAGTTACCTTTCCGTCATAAAGTATGATTCCGACAGAAAAAGGAAAAGTCATCGCGGTTGCCTTTTTCCTCTATCATCTGTAATTTTTTTTCCATACGTTCTACATACAAAATGAAGAAATTTTCCCTTGACTCTGTCCTCATTTACGGAGGATAAAAAGGCATGAGCTCTACATAAAATTCAATTTTGTAACGCAAAATGTTGTGTCTTGAAGCTAAATTTATTAAATTTAATTTTTATTATCATAAAAAGCGTGAGAGAACGTACATTTGAAGATGGTTTTTGTCGCGGTGAAGCACAAAGCGGAAACTTTTTTCCTACCCTCTTTACAGTGACTTTTTTTTAGTGCACTTATCAAAGGTAAAAAAATCTCTTTTGGTGAAATCTTGTTATCTCTGCCCCAATTTCTTTCATATGTGACAATTTATTTTTAATTTAAATATTCAGCTAGGATGTAAAATTTAAATGTAAGAGATGTTCTTTGCATTAATAATTTGTGAGGGGGGATTTTGAATAGATTCTGGATTTTCTGATGGATTTTGTAGAAGTTTTATATGGATTTGAATAAAGTAAGGTTAGAACTAGATACATGAAACTAGTCATTGTGTGAAAATTTAACTTTTTGCGACTAATATGTAAAATTTGGGTTTAGGTTAAGTGAAAAATTGATTAAAAATTCGTGATCAAACTATCAAAATTGACTAAACAAGGCTGTTGAATCCGGTTGCCGTTACATTCCAAAAAATTTGAATAAACACTAACACTATCAAACCATTACCAAAAATAAACATTGAATTTGTTTGTCAAAAATTGCCTTAATTAAACCTTAGTATATGTTTTGAATATGATTACAAGCTTAATAAAGCTTTAATCATTTTGAATTAGTTTCTGGAGCCAGTTAAATTCGTCAATTCATTGTTAAAATGTGAATTTTCCAAAAAAAAATATATTTTTGTGGCGTGTGTTTAGAAATTCAAATTTTGGAAATTAACGAGAAAATTGGGGATCTCTTAATTTCTGAACACAGAACGACCGACACCCCTGGGCTCGATGAAGCTTCAATCATTAGGATTAAGCTTTTAAGCTTCATTTTAGGACATTAATTGTTTGATAGAATCCCAATTTTAAAAATAATATTGCGTACGTTTAGAAATCCACATTTTGAACTTAACGGAAGAAAATTATGTACTTATGAATTTCTGAACGCAAATATAAGGATCAACCTTTGTAGTTAAACAAGCTTTTCAAGATATCGATTAAATAATCGTTATTACACTTTTTCAAAAAAGAACAATGGAATTCTAAGAAATATTTTAAATCTTCGATATATCCACTCTTAGCTTGTTACGAATTAAGTGAACATAAGAGATTATGACGTCCATCATTTACATTACAATAATTATTCAAGGCGGCTCACTTAGGAAACTGACAGTTTCATACTATAATGGACGTCATAAGTGAATAGCTCCTAAACTGATTCCATAGTAAATAACCTAGCAACTCAAATATGACAAAAAAAAGAAAATTTTAAAACTTTTACATAACCAAAAGAGGTGAAAAATGAAGCCAATAAAATGCGTTTACTTTTTATTCTGTGTCGTCGCTTTTATGCTTTAATATTTTCACCATAATCTTCATTTTCTTATTCTATCACCAAATTGACTTTAAATATTAAAGCATCTTAAAAAAAATTTTTTTTCACTTCTTCATGTTCTCCCCAATTGATGGTAATGGGAAATTGAAGCATGGATGAAAAAAAAATGGAGATAGAAATAAAAATGAAATTGTTGGTCCTCCCTCAGTTTATACGTTTTTAAATTATTAAATATGAGAATAAAAAATATGTCACCACTGTAGTCACTGGTTGAACGTAAAACGACAGTCCTCAACCAAATGAAATTCTCATTAAAAGTCTTTTGTGAATGCCTTTTTTTGCCATTGTTCAAGCTTCATTTTCGCAGTAATTTTTCTTCATTTACGGTTGTCATGCTTTTTGATGTAAAAAAGCACACGAAAAAAAGTGCGAAAAGCCTACGAGAACAAATAAGAAATGTAATTTGAATATTTCTTGCCTCAAAAGTATTTTCTAGCAAATATTTTGAATACTTCTTCCCCTCGTGCGTATCTAAAAAAATTTCTTCCTAAAACTTTTGATGCTTTCTGTTTTTTTGTAAATGTGATATTTGATTTTTGTTCTGTAGTAGATAACAATAAAGGCACGAAAAGTGAAAAATTATGCTACAAAAGAATGTAGATCTAAAACATAGAATATTTTACACATGCTCTTCTAAATTCTATACGAAACGTTTATTTGAACATTGTTCGTTAACTCCAATATTACATGCTGTGTGTGAATGAAATGCCTATTTACATACACGCAGAGCATAATTTATATTTATTTATCTTTAAGAGTATAGAGAAAGTTTTAAATATTTTAGGGCTTTCCCATGAAAAACGAACGTTGAACAAAACTTTTTGAATGAAGTTTTTAAGACTTCCTCATTGCCAAAAGTTTTACTTTTTGATTGGAAGCTTTTGAAGTTTTGGAATTTTTTAAAATAATGTAAATTAAATTAAAGGTACATACATGTGCATAATTAATGAGGTTTGAAGCAGCATATAAATCAGTGATTCTCAATCTTTTTCTGCATGTGGCACACTAGTCGTTATTTGGGGGTTCATATATAGCATCCCCTTCCTACTGATGCAAAGTTTTGATGCAATATTGAGGTTCCTCCCCCCCCCCCCCCCCCCCCACTTCATCAAAATTATTAATAAAATTCAAACTTCAAATAAAACTTGATAGAAGTCCACAATCTTTTTCATTAAAAACTGGAGGACCGCGACACACAGTTTATAAACCACTGATCTAATTAAAATAAAATAAACTTCGGCTCAAATTTGCATAACCAATTGATTGAGTGTTCATAACATGCAGGATGATTGAATAATTTTTAAAATTATTTAATGATTCAATTAACTGTGAAAATCATTGAATTTTCGAGAACTCTTTAAATTGTTTTTAATTTAATTATGTTCATGAAATTGATGTTCTTATTGCAATTTGAATGCTGCTTCATTATGATTGTCAAAAAGTCCCAGATGACACTAAAATCTCAAGATCAATTCGTTTTCTAAAGGTCGAGTTTGAAGCGAAAATCATTATGTGTCCTTAGAGATGATTAAACTCAAATTTTTAGATCTCTTGTTATTATAAAGCTTTAAAATATATTAAATTATCAAACTGTCGATGATAATAAATTTCAAATTAATTACAGTTCATGTTATGCACTGACTCATCAGGACTATTGAATAATTACTGTTAAAATAAGGGGCCGTTCACTTATTACGTTCGCATTTTAGGGGGGAGGGGGGGTTTGAAAAATTGTAACAAAATGTAACATAGGGGGGGGGGGGGTCAAGAAGTATGTAACGTTCTAACTGTCGCCTGTCTTTTAAAATTTCCTTTTTAATGATTTATGAAAAATTATCAAAATTAAATAAATTAAGAACGTTCGGGGGGGGTGAAAAAAGTCGTTTTTTGCGTAACGTAATAAGTGAACGGCCCCCAATGAACAGCAAATAATTGAAAAATGAAACAAAAGCGAACTTCCTGTCATTTTGAATGTGTAATATGTCATTTTGATTTTTGCGACGGTTCCACCAATGACTCATCAAAAAAATTTCCGAGAGCTATCCTAAATATGCTATGTTCTCACACTCTTTTTGGGATGCAAGACGGGTACAGTCTCATTGTTTCTCAGCACAGAGCAGTGTTTCTTAAACTTTTTTGGTCCACGGTCCACACTAAATGAGTTTTACGACCTTTTTGAAGTCATAAAACATGAGATTATGAGGCAAATTCTAGCAACAAATTTTTTCCGAGGCACTTAGTTTGTGAACCACTGTGTTAGAGCCTATGTTCCTTTATAGTAAGAGATCAGCTCTTAAATAATGTGAGTTTGAGACAAGTGCTCTTTTGAGTTGTTCCAGAGGCTGGTTTCTAATGGTTATCTTGGGTACCCTAGTTTAGGCGTCCTGTTTAGTCATAGAAAATGATAAAATCTGAACATCCTGCCTCACAGTACTTATTTTTAAAAAAATCCTTTACTCATTGAAAAAATCACAAGCCTCCCTTTTGTGACTCACTGTTGACATAATAAAAATGAACATAAATGGAAAGTTTATTTAGTAACATGCTTAATTAAACACTATTGGATAATTAAAGTACAATATTTGAGTATGTAAAGAAGAGAAAAAAGTGGATGTATGTATGCTGAGCATTAGTGACGTACGTGTACACATGATATCTTAATTAGAAGCTAAACAAAAACTAATTCTCATCAAATTTTATCTGCTCATAAAGAAATGTTCTTATTATATCCAATTAAAGATGTTTAAGTACCAAATAATAATGCGAAAAATTCTTAGAAAATCCAAAATCAATATTCTATTTTCTTGGAAATCCTCGAGATACTTTATCAAGTTTAGGCAGAGAAAAAAATGTCTAAAAGCAAGAAAACAATTTTTTTTATTTTTGATGCGGACCCAAAAAAAGTTTATGGTATGAAAAATATTGTTTAGTGCTATTCATTTAATGTGGTGATGTTGAAGAGAACGGAAAACACAAAATCACCAACAAAGCCATGAACTTTATGTAGATATGTAAAAAGAAGGCCACAAAAAGTGATGTGAAATGGGCAATAGGATATTTGTTGATGTATTCACACCGGGTAGTAGATTGAAAAAAATCCAATTAAGAAGAAGATTTGCTTTGAGTGCTCGTTATTGAAGCCGGAAATCCTTAATAACTTTCCTTTTCGTTTCTTCTTGCTTCATCTGACAAAAAAGTCTTTAGAATTTGCAATTTCTCTCATTTGCTTTACATACTTTTGTGTGTGATAACGAAAAATACAATTTTTGAAGGGGTTGTTCGTAAATGACGTCTATGAAAAAACTAAAGCTTTAAGACACAACACTAAGAACAGAAATCTCCTGAAGTAGAGAAGTTCTTCAATTTTATTCCACTACCCCCCCCCCCCCCCACCATTCCCCCTTTAATTTTCCGTGCGTAAGAAAGTAACGCTCCTTATATCTTCCAAAATAATGAAGAACAGTCGCTTTATCGACTTAGTAGCACCTTAATCTCAAATTTAAAATCTCCCTTTTTGTCAACTTGATCCTTATCCTCTTATGCTTCTCAAAATGGTGTGAAAATTACAGCCCAATTCGGTTAGTTCAGTAAGCCACAACCGGATGCTAGACCTTTTTTATAAACGATCCCTCACAGTCCAAATATGACACAAGGGAATGAATTGAGAAACTGAGAAAATATCATTTTCTTTTATAGATTGTGAAGGCTGCTAGTCCTGCATTGCTTCGAGTGATAGCAATGGGAGCTTTCCTAATTTATTGTACTGTAAGTAAAACAACATATTTTATGAATGGCATGACAAGAAGGCGGCAAACTACTAATGTAAATATAAATAATCTTTTATGCATGCTCTTTTTTTCTTTTTTTATCTCATCTACAGACCATTGTCATGTACCCGAATCCTTCATTGTATTCGTGTGTCGCAAAAATTTGGCTACGAGAAATTGGATTTTCTCTTACTTATGGAGCACTTATGCTCAAAACTTGGAGGTAAATAAATGAAATCAAATAAAAGTCATTCGTTTAAATTAATTTGAGATTTTTTTTTCGCCTGAACTCACCGCTGCCTTTTCTGTTGTCTATCCAAACTTTATTCTTTCTCTTTTTTTATTTTATTCATTTCGTGTTTTATGTTGTTTAAAAAAAATGATTTTGATGAAAATATTCTTCATCGTGCCGTACCGTTTAATATAAATAGATAAACTTTCAGTTCTCTTTTTTTTTTATCCAGTTCCTATTTTTTTCCGCTTTTATGGCCCCTATCATAAAAGTTCATATTTTTTGTGTCAGATTTGAGTGAACATAAAATATTTTTCGGGTTGTTGTTGTTTCATGACTTTTTTCCCTCCTCCAATTTTTTTTTTTTTTGTTAGCAATTTATTCGAAACTTGTTATCTAAGTAGTTCCAATATTTCTGTTTAATGCAGGCTCGGTGAAAGTTTTTTTTGTTGTTATTGTGTTATTTCATGTGGAATATTATTTGATCAAACATCAAAACCGCAGAATTAGTTTCAAAACTTCAGTTGCTTATTATTCAAGTCATAAATAATTTACTGGACGGTGATTTCTAGATAAAAACCTTAGCGAAATGAAGAAATGTCCGTTAACGAAAGAGGATTTGTCCCTCAAAAATGTCCCCCTTCTTGGCTAAAACACGAAAGATCCCTTTCTCTACTTGAGCATGGTTTGAGAAGAGCTGTAAAATAATCAATGATCTTTGCTTCGTGTAGCGTTGTCTATTGAGATATGGGGACCAAATTCAAACTTGATCTTTTGTGCAGCGCTCTGAGTTGTTAGAACCAGTGGTTTAGAATCACTAGTTGAAACCCTTTGATGCCTAAACATTACTTCACATGCTTTGAAATCAAAAATGTGCTGGGATTATTCAGGATCATTGGAATTATTGGGATCATTGGGATTATTGAGGATTATTGGGACTAATTCCAGTATCCATGCCTTGCTTTGATACTTTCTAAGCATAACAGCATAAAATATGAGTTGTTATCTTGATTCTTGTGCCAACTAATCAGCATTTTTAACTTTCAAAATCTTCATTTTGACACAGTCATCAGTTTTTGCCTTGATTAACTGATTTATTTTACTACACTGCTGTAAATCTCCGTAAACATTGATGAACTAGCCTATAAATCTAAATTAACAATTCTTGTCCTGTTTTTCATCCCATCAATTTGTATCATCCATATCCAATCTGATTTTGTCATTCAAATAAAATTAAGCTTTGACCCAAATTTCATTATATCCACATCAAACCACAGACAACTGCAATGCCATAAAAATAACACAAACTTAAATTTTTTACTATCCTTCAAAAGCGCCATAAAAAAACTTTCAATGTCCATAAATTTCCTACTCACATTTTGTGTTCCTTGTTTCACCGTAAAACATAACAGTTATTTTTTATTTTGATTGTAGTTATTTGCTATATACAGCATGTATATATAGCGAAAAAGAAATAAATTGCTTTGGTGAAATGGTCATAACTTTTTTTTCTGTTAAATACTTTTTATTCTGCAGAATATCTGTGATATTTCGTGTTCGTTCAGCAAAAGCTATAAAAATAACTGACGCGTCGCTCATCAAGAAATTGAGTCTCTTGTGTGGATTCGTGAGTGTTGCTTTACTCATAAGAACACTTGTGTCGCCACCCGATGTTATTGTAGGACGTACAGCCGACAATTTAAAAGCTTTCCTATGCAAAACTGACTGGTGGGATCACACCTTTACCTCAAGTAAGATATGCGTTCATAAAAAATTCAAACTGACAAGATTAAAATTTTTTTTTTCATTGATTCCTTTTTTTTTACAGTGGAAGTTCTATTTCTCGCTTGGGGCGTTCGTTTATGTATTGTGGTACGTAAAGCTCCATCCGAGTTCAACGAGAGTCGCTTTATATCAATGGCAATCTACAACGAATTCCTTCTGACATGCTTCCTCAATGTTTCCATGTAAGTTTCCTCCTTCATTTGCTATTCAAACTTTATATGAGCTTTTTTTCCTTGTCGTTCTTCTCGTGGCATCTTTTTTGCATAACTTTCTATTCTTTTCTTTATCAATGACATGACAGTGTGTTAAAGCTGACGGAAACCCCGAATAAAAACGAGTATAACTTTTATACCCAAATGCACAATGAAGATTCATAAAAATGATCATTATTATTGCTTCTTCTTTTTATCGCGAGCTACACAAATTTCATGGCTTTTTTTTTCTCTTTTTTGTGATATCAATTTCTTCTCGGAATTCTTTGTTTGTCAAATCATAAGAAAAATATGAGGGGGAAAACAACTTGATGAGAAAAATCTATCAGAGGGGGTACAGACTTTGAGGGGAAAAAATCTGATATAATTCAGCAAAACTTTTTAAAATTTTATCAATAATTTAAATTTTAACCATCATGTTCTTATCCCCCAGAAGAAAAATATGAAAAAGGAAAGAATTTCTTTTACAACCTAGCAGCAGCAAGTAACAATTGTTTTCAATCGAACCTTTTTCGCCTTTTCTTTATTCTTTTATTGCACACCGTGATGATTTTTTATTGTTTTTTTAACGCTCCAATACAAATTGTGTCAAAAATTATGGAAAGGAATTAAATTGTTATGAAATCAACGCGTAAACAAACAAAAAACAAAAGAAGAAGGAAGGAAAATGGCAAAGTCGAAAGAAATAGAAACTTTTTTTTCCTTCTTATTCCTTCTGTGAATGGCAAAGATAAATAGGAAAAGGGAAAGGAGAAAGGGAAACGCGAGTAAAAACAGAAGATACTATAAAAATACAGGGGCAATAGAGTTGGGAAAGATAAAGGAGTTGTGATGACGAAGCAAGTAAACATAAGTAAACTTTTTATACAGAGTTGTTATTTTGGTTTTTTTGTTAAGTCTGACAATCCTAAGTTTTAACCTATCAACAATCAAATTCAATCCAAGAATAAGTTAATTCAAGATTCAGATCTGAGTCGATCAGATATTCAAATAGAATTGAATTCCAAGTCTTGAACTAGATTTAGATATCAAGCTAGCTTGTTTCATGAAGTCCACTGTAAATTCTCTTTAATTTAGTATTTGAGCCTTAAAATATCAGAAGCTCGTTTCTCAATTATAAATATAGGTTTGGCTCATCCTTAGGATTTTGTATTGAAAGATGCTCTTTGAGTATAAACAAAATACTTCCAATGTATATCAAAGTAAGACATACCTGAGGATATATGCAAGAGGAACTCTAAGACAAGCTTTTGGGACTATTTAAGGTAACTTGAATCTAGCTCGAATCCCTAAAATGGAAATCGATGTTTTAAACCAGTGTTGTTCAAACTTTTTGAGCAACGGCACACTTTGAATGTAAGTCATGATCATTTAACGATACACAAGTGTGCCGTGTCACAAAGTTTGAACAACACTGTTTTAAACCTTTGTCAGACCCAGTCACCTAAAACCCAGACAGTGATCAAAAATCAGCAATCAAAAAGCCTCAATTAAAGTTCAACTTGATTAAGCTAGCTTTAGATGCCGTTTAAGTAAAGTCTTACAATAAAATTGATCTGTACAGTCAACATAGATAGTCAATGAGTTTACTGGCATCTAACAATTGCTTTTCCTTGTTCAAATAATGACTGTTCCAAGCAATTAGATTGGCAACACTGTTTTTGGCTAACAATATTGTCTGACTCATAAACTACACTTTGTTATTGTTACAATGAAAAAGAGAAGAAAATTGTTCACAATGCATATTTTCGCCAAACTTCATCTGCTGAAAGTCAACTGTTTTGACTTTCGTTTATTTCCTTAAGTGCTCGCAAGTGTTTTTTTATGTTCTTTACGCCTTCAACGGAGCAGAGAAAGAGATGAAATATGATCAAGCATGGCAACGTAAACGCGAGATATCATCCCAATTTAATGACATCGGATGGTAAAAGATAGAGCAAGTCGAGACATTTTAACTTTGTCATTCAATGCCATATTGTATGGCTTATTGCTACTTAAAATTTAAATTTTATTTTTTTCTCATCAAAATAATGCACATAAAAATTAAAGAAAAGTTTCCAAGCTTTAATATTATTTTGTGTGCTGGAAAATGGCGGGAGAAGTTGAATTATATTTTTATTAAATATCTCGGAAGGAAGTAGATATTCTAGATGATACATTTATTACATCAAAATTAATTTCGTGGAATTCAGGTTGAATTAATATCCTCAGTGGTGTCATCAGGACTCATGAAGAAATTTTAATTTAAGATCAAGTACTTTCCTTTTGGATGCTTTTGAAGGCATCCTTTATATGAAATCTCTGAAGTACATACATCCTTGATATATTAAAAATGTTATATTTTTTTGGCAAAGCATTATGAATAAAATATGGAGTGATGCTTCATGTAATGATATTGAGGGTTTTATTCTGAATCCTCTCAGCATTCTAGAAACTTTTGTTTTTGAAAAAAAAGGTCACAAGACTTCACGTTTGCCATTTCAAGTTCACTCCAAATTCAGTCCTCTTTATTATAATGTGTTGCCATGTCACTTGCAGCATCGGCAAAATATCCTTTATGGTGGTAATAGAAAAAGTGTGTCCTTTTCCATTCATGTGACTGCTACTTTTATGTGCTCTTCCTTAATGTTGTTCCTATGTGACACGAATTTTCTAATGGATATGATTACACTACGTATCTTATAATGTTGATTATCATGAATGGCACAACAAAAAAGATTCAGCATTAAAACAAATTTTGTTGCCAAAAAAAAACTTTCTCTTTTGTGTCCATCTAAAAAACAAGCTTTAAGTCTATGAAATATTTTTAGCAACATGGAATTATGATTTAGGATTTTGAGGATGGATTTTCGTGTTTTGAATGAGAAACAATAAAAGTTGTGCTTTGGAATTAAAAATTTTAATTATAAATTTAATTTCCCAGAGATCTATATGTTTTGTGCTGAATACATGCATCTGATACTAATGTATTTAACCTCTAATTTAAAGAATGGTAATTTTAAATATGGCAGCTTCATTTGAATTAATCTGCCTGTTTTTAAATAGATTTTTAATTAAAATAAAATTATAATAGATTTTTGATGGATTTTGAAAGATTTAAAATAAATAACTGTGATTTTAACATGTTGGGTAGCAGCAGAAAATTGTTGTGAATTTCCTCAGAATTTCCAAATCAAAATATTTTAGATCTGTTTATCTCCCCCTTGAGTGTGACCTTAGTTCATCATCCAAAATTGATATTAAATCTGCCGATGAAAATACCAAATTCGTACAAAATCGAGAAGTTCTCAAATATGCTGCAAGGCTCAGACATCTCAAATAATTTATTTATATCTTGTCGTACCAAAATAGATTATTAATAATAATTACAAGAGTTCTTCAAAATAAAGAATTGTGCAATCGTACTCTGAATAATGCTGTGAATATTGTGATTTAGAAAGTTGATGTTGGAATTTGCGATTCCATGTAATAGCCAGTCAACGATAAATCATGTGGTACAAAGGAACATTAAAAAGAGTGTAACTTATGTAGGATATAGCCACAAAGTTGTCTAGGACCCGATAGCTTAGTGATAGGAGCATGCGACCGGAAATCGTAGGACGTGGGTTCGAGTCCCGCTTGGGATCCGTTATTCGGAGTTATACTTTTTTCTGTGGTTTTATCATCTAGAAGTTTGCTTCTTCCTTCTGGATGTTTTAATAGTTGAGAATAGCACATGCTATCTACAACTATCCTCTGATAGGTATCGACTTGATATCTTATACAAAGACTTACTTTGCTGGTCGTACAGATCAATTGTGATCCATGACTGATGATGAATCCTGGCACTGGCTTTATCGCTGTCTTGCCAATCACCAAAACCAAGTGCAATACTGGTTCGATTTACACAAACAGAGTTTAGTAGACATGAGCTAAAAGCTATATACTTACAATATTGTATGCACAAAACTCTCAAAAATTTATCGTAAACAGAATAAAAGAAAATTGCAAACTCCCCATAGAGTCCAATCATCCATAAATTTCTCTAAGTTGCAGAAAATATGCCTTCTGAAAAGTCCATAAAATGATACACTTAAATATAATCACATTTTCCAGTCGGTCACTTTTTCTCTTGTCTACAACAAACTTGTCAAATATACGAAATAATCTCCTTCCAAAAATAATTCATCATACCCTCTTAGTGCAGTCATATGAATCATAAATAAGATGTTCAATTTCCTTCAAGACTCAACCTCTTATTGAAAAATTCATTAAATTAAACTCATTCTTCCTCTTGTACCAAAAAAAAAGGAAGACAGAAAGGAAATTATTCATCTTCAACCTTTCTTATACAATAAAAATTAGTAGAAAGTATTTCAAAAGATTTTTCGAGAACATGCATTTGCCTTTGATGTTGTTGAGTCAAATCAAGACCCTAGTTCAAAAGAGTGAGTAAGAGAGAAAGAAAAAGGATTAAAAACTTGCTTCACAAAATTTTAAATCTTCAATGAATAAAGAACAACAAAATGTAAAATGCTTCATGTGCAAGTAAACCACAAAAAATGGAAAGTGCATGATGATGCTTTAAATGCTAACATAAATATGTGTACGATTATTCTTTGCCAGAGTCAGGGTTGATATTAGTAACATGGCAAGAATAATGCAAATCCTGGACACAGAATAGCTTGTCTTAGTCAAAGTACATCCATCAGTGATACTTTTCAGTCATAAACAGGTAGTGACCAATTTGTAGCAAATTAACGTTTTTCATTTGATTTAAATTCAGATTAACTCGAGTATAAAATGATACAAATCCGAGCGGCACCACGAGCTGCTTCTGCTTCTCACATCACATTTAAAATTGCAACTTCAACAATGCGTCTTGGCGTTGTTTTGCCTGATTTTTCATTTTATTAATTACTGCTTCTCGGAATATATCCGTGGACACTTGTTGCTGGAGTCCAGTAATTTGCATTAGCGTTAAAGGATCATTCGAGATATGTTGAATACAAAGCTGTGACGACAGATTCGCTACATGTGACAGATCTGTCAACATGTGGCCTGTTAACAGGTGACCTGTCAAACAAGTGGCGACCTGTGACAGGTGGGCTGTTTTCGTTGACCTGTGACAGATTGCAATTCTGGTTTAATGTCAGACTCGTTGTTTTAACTAAGAAAATTAAGGGATAATAAATTGCACTGTATATCTCCTGAAATGATCTTACTTTATCGGCACTTACGATTTACTTGCATCACATCTATGACTTATGTTGAAGAAATCAATACTTTTCCTTGAGAAAGTCCGAATACATAAGTATGTCGATAAAAGCAGCTGCTAATTTAAAAAAAGATTAAACAAAAACTTCCTGCTTTGCTACCTGAATAGTTCGTGAAACACTGACTTAGTGTCTGCGAATGAGTCTTTAGATCTACTTTAGTCCGGTAATCCATATACTCAATGTTACTTCGCTATCAACCCTGCTCCACACCTTACATGAATAAAAGTTTCTTATGGATGATGAAGGAACATAGAAGAAAGATATAAAAAATTATTCTTTTGCACTTTATAAAAATTTATCATAAAACCACACAACTCGACACTTTTGTGTGTTTTGCTCTCATTTTTATCTCCCATGACTATAAATATTCTCATGATGTTCCTGCACAAAAAAAGAAAAAGAAGTATGAAAAGGTGAACAGGGCAGATTGAATTAAAGAGACACACAAAGTGAAAAGTTTTATAGTTTCACAAAGCTTTTGGGGGGAAGAACGTGAAGAGAGAAAAGGAAATGACAAAAAATATTGTATATGAAATGATAAAGAAATGAAGAATAAGTATGCGCGTGCCAAAGCCCCAGTAGCTATGTTAAATATAGAATAAAATAAATATAAAGAAAGCAGAAAAGAACGAGAGGAAAAGCTTTATGACAGTGTAACAAACATATAATGCGGTTATCAAATTTATGAAAATGGTATTTTTTGTTTGTTTCAAAATCCAACAACTTAGTACGAAGAATTTTTCAATTTCTATCTTGACAGTCTTATTATAATTCCTTTCTCACATTCTTATATCATTTTCTTTTACACTTTAGGCTGTTTCTTCAATCACCAGCTAATCCTGATTTACTATACATCATATTTTTTTGTCATACCCAGTTAACTGTTACACTTTTACTGGCGCTCATATTCGGCTCAAAGGTAAGAAGAAGAAATATTGTGAATAGGACTTTTTTTTATTATTTGTACAATATTCTCACGCGTGTAGACTTTATCGGGGGTTTGGTATCGATCAATTTTTATATGATTAAGAATTTGGTTTGAATTTCCAAAAACCGTTATATTTTCATGAATATATCTTGCAAAAACTGGCATAAACAAGGTATGGGCAAACGAATCTTATTTATAGCTTCTTGTTTAGCTCAGTTTAGCTAAAATCATTCAAGAAAATTACTAGAACTAAACTATTAATGCTTAAAATCCTAAAATTAACAAATTTTTAACGGTTTCGAAGTATTCAAATGCTAGTTCGACTAAGTTTGAACATGTCGATTTTTTTCGACACTGAAACGTCCGTAGCATGGGGTTAAGATATTAGGTTATCTGCTTTATATTAAGTTTTCTTATGAATTTGGATCATTGCTTATTTTCGGGATAGAATCATGACTAAGGTTGACTATGGCTGACTTTAAAATACATGCAGGAAGATAGCCCTAGCTATACTAGATGTGTAGTGTTTATGACAGTTGTCGACGGATGAAAAGATGTACCTTAGAGTATTCCTATAAAACCAGCTACTGTTAGCTTTAAATCTGGTCTAGTAAATATTGTATTTAAGTTATAAATCAATAGGAAACGACTAGATTCTAAAAACAGGATTTGAGCAAAGGTTCTTACTAGCAGAAAGCTAGAACTCCTATTTTCAATGTCAAACTAATCTACAAAATAAACTGCTGAATTTCGAATACAAAAGAAACAATTCTTCCTCCTCAATGTATACAGTATATAATCCAGAATGCCGCATAATAAGTCCAACTAAATCAAGATAAAGAGCATATAAAGCACAAATCACTCCGATACTAAATCCATGGCATTGTTCATGAAAGTAGACACCTCAAGTATTAAATTTATATTCATTCCTGACTATATAAAGTGTATTCAGCTCACTCATAAACTGGAAAAGAAAAAGTTTTAATTTTCACAATTTATGTTCGTAATTCTTTTTTCTTTCTTTTTCACACTTTACGTACATAACCCAAACGATAAAGCCTCTTTTGGAAAAAAAAAGTTGAATTTAATTGTATCTACTTCCATTAGACCTAAAGCATTATATACTCCCCCTTTTGTTTTTAAAATTGTTGCTTACATTGTTCCATAATGAGCGACTTTACTTCCTTCTATGTTTTTTTATAATTAAAAAAAATTTTCATTCGTATCATCAGCATCATAATTTCTTTTCATTGAGAAATACTTCAGGTTCTTTTTTTTGTTGCTTCTAAATACCTACACACACGTACACATTTATCAACATAATAAATTGTAAGCATTAGAAAGTCGAGAAAAAAAGAATTAAATGAGTTGCTTTCCACAAAACTTCTTGAATTTAAATTCATGATGTTTTCTCATCTGGGCGTACAAGTTAAATATTTGATTAAAAGTAAATTAAGAGGTGGAATGGGATAAAGTAATGGGAATCGTACATTCTAAATTCGCTTGTCTACTTTTGCTTGATATAATTGTTTGACATAAGCTTCAAATTTATATCTGCTTCTCACTCCCATTTTTATGCTGTAGACGATAGAGCTACAAGCTTTCTTTGATTGAGAGCTTTTAATGTTTGTGGAATGAGAAATGGCAATGAATATATAAAGGCGGTTATTTAAAAATTCTACAACATTATTTATTTATTGAAGGGAAAGTGAAATAAACTTTTCAAATTCTTGAGAATTTTTTAACAGAGTAGATGCTCAGGCGCGTGGCTAGGAGGGGGGGGGGGGGGAGAGAGGGGAGCTAGACAAATTTCCTAACAGTGTTTTTAAAGTTTTACAATTTTTATCAAGAATTCCTAAAAATCCCCCTCCCCTTTTTAAATTCCTGGTTATGCCCCTGTACAGGCCTCAAACCTGAAAAATTATTGACACAAGGAGTTTTTAAGGTTCTTTATCTTTCATGATTTATGTCAGACTTAGCAATAGAGACTTGGCATGGGAAATAAAGCCCTTCATTTCTAGGCTGTATGCCAGAGGCGGAGCCAGAACATTTTTAAGGGGGGGGGGGGGCATTTTCGAAAATTAAAAAACCGTTATTTTGTATCCTTAAATCTATATTCATTCTTCATAAGTTTAAATATTTAATTCATTATTCATACATTAAATTTACTTTTTCGTGCTGATTTTGACATTTCTTTCATCACTTCCTCTACATTAACTGGTTCTTCTCTATAAATACTTAATAAAACAATTTTCAGATTTTCGTAGGGGGGCCCGGGCCCCCTATGGACCTCCCCTGGCTTCGCCCCTGCTGTATGCTATAATTATACATCTGCTTTCCCTCTTTAAGAATATCTAAGGAACTTCCTTCATTACGAAATATATTTAACACATTTTTGGTTGTTTTCCAGACCGCTCAATACTTCGAAGGATTTAAATCTCCATCCCACGCTCTATTGTTGACATACGCACGTGAAGAGTTATTAGCAATGATCCTTGAATAGGCATAGAACACAATGGAACCATTTCTATTAGAAAATACCATAATCCAAATCCTTGTATTTTCCAAATTGTGCTGTAAATTCTCAACTTAAACACATTCCTTTACAAAAAAAAAATAATTCCGAACATTACGTAAAGGTATAAATAAATATCCTCTCAACAGATGATGAACTCACATAAAGCAAAAATCGATTTTTAAACCAAAAAATTTCTTCTTTTCGACTCTATGATTCCAAGCATTAAATTGTAAATTCCCTTAGATCACGTTTTCACGGCGTATTGAAACAGGCAATACACGAAAAATATTTTAACGCTTAACGCGCTTTACAATAAACAGGAATAAAAATAAAAATGGAATTCTAACAAGCTGACAGCGAAGAAAGCCCAACCGTGATTTTTTAAAGAGGGTTGTTCACATATGACGTGGATCATTCAAGTGTGGGGGGGTTCTTGGATCTAAGCTTAGCTCAATATCGAAAGATTTAATAAAGAGGATTTGAAAAATTCCATTTTTTGATAGACGTAATTTATGAACGATCCCGTTCTGTATATTTATTTTCGTGCTTTGGTTGAGGACATTCATACAGAGTAAATGGAAGCAAACAACAACAAAATAAGTACACAAGATCCACCCCAAAGTAAATTTTCATTCCATTCGCTTGTCGGTTGCCTCGTGTAATCGAGGAAGTCACTAGGGGAATTTTCATTTTTCAATTTCTGAGACACTCAAATCGCAATGAGAGATAAAACGTTCAACCTTTTATGTCTCTTTCCTTTCTTGTCTCATTTTTAATTTCAAACAGGTTTACCTTGTTTTTCGTAATGGAGGAAAGTGTCTCGAGGATACCATTCATAGTAAATCGAATGCAGCAAAGTTTATTAGCCGACCACAACCCAGAACATACGCAAGTGCGAGTAGTGTGAATGCATCGTCGGGACAACTTCAGCATCCAAATGGTAAATCAATATTTATATGCCTTAAAAAATCATATTTAATTTATTTACATCTTTTCCTTCATCGCTTCCTGTAAATGCCGTTGACAATTTTCTGTTACTTCATGGCTCATTTCGCTTACAACTGGAAATAACAACAAAAACTACAATAACAATAAAACTTTGTTTTTATGCCTGCAACAACAAACATCCCACTGGAAATATAGGAGCTGACAATAATCGATTAAGTGAAAATGAGGCTGTGGAAGAAATCAAGCAATTGGCAAAACAACTACAAAATTTATACGAGAGAATTCCACAGCGAGGTACCGCAACAAATGTTATATTAACATTGTTGGATATTTGTCGTTCCGCTCAAAATGGCGGAACACCAAATCAGTTGATGTTAAAGCCACCACAACAAGTGAATGAACAAGCCAAAGCACTTAGTGGTGATAAGAATAGCACTTATGTAGATAAAGAGACAAATACATGTCATGATGACTACCTGTATCAGTCAAGTGATGTAGACAGTCGCTTTAAAATATCAGATAAATGTGATAAAGATAATCATTTAAATTGCGATAAATGTAAGGACATTAAGCATAAGAAAACAAAAAGTAAATGTTGTGAAGCCAATAATATAATAAGTTGTAGTACGAATAGTATTAATTTTGAAAATTTGCAATTGCAATGCATGTGCAGTAGTGATAATAATAGTATTGAAGAATATCAAATCCCGATTGGCACATCATGGCAATGTCATCCAAGTGGACTCCACTTGGATGCCAATGGCGTGGCAATGGCAATTTTTTTAAAATAAAAATGTAATTGTTGCCACATAGTCTCCACTTTGTCGCCACTTGGCTGTTAAAAATTCCTAGAGAAATTAATTTTTTGTTTTTCAAATTTAATTTCTATTGGATGCCAAATAGCTACCACTTGGCTGATATTAAATGGCAATATTTTCCCACTTTTCAACTCAATTATTATTTTAACATATATTATTTTGAGATTTTCTGTTTAAAACAGCTAAACAGATATTCTCATAAAAATCATAAAAATTAGAAGATCTGCTCATAAATAAGTATGACAATGAATTCGTAAACAAAGCTTTTCCTATCAGGAATGCCAGAAATTCTTATTTAACGTTCCCTATCAAAGAGATTTCTGAAACAGTTTAAAATTTTATTTGTACATATCCTGGTTTTTCTTAAAAAGCTACTACTCGTTACTAAGCTACTAGTGAGCCAATAAAATCTCTTTTTTTATCTTCTAAGCTACCAGCTTATAACAAAAAAACAGGGTATATTCACTTAAAAAACTGATTTATAAAGTTTGAGACCTTAAAATGCGAAATCTTGTTTACATCAAGTTACTCTTTACTTTAAAAACTAATTTTAGTAAATCTACAAAATACCCAATCAAATCTATGGGATTCGGTTCAGCAATACTTATTTAAGTATGCCAATGATCTAATTGCTACTTTTAAAAAAATTCTGATGTTGTGCAGGAAAAAAATTCTTTATTTGGGCTTATAAGTCACATACATTTGTTGATTAACAACAATTATAAAACTAGTTTAGCAGTATTCTTTCCAGGTGTGAACGGAAGAATAAAGTCCGTTTTCCTCCTCATATAGATCAGCAGTCATATTCATGTCATATCTGAATCAAAAATATAAGACAGTAAAATTACTTAAGCAATGCTACAATTACTTATTAGCACTTAAGCAATGCCTGGAATCAAAACAAAAATTCCGCTGGATTTTCAGCAAAGTCTAAAGAGTGGTATGACTATTGCTGACTTTTCATACTATTTTATCCAAAAATAATATTAATGCATTTCTTGAAACTTGTTTTTAACGGTCAATTGAGGACTAATTTTTTTTTAAAAAATTGCAGTAATTAGACGAAAAGGACGAAATGGATAAAATTTTAAACTTTTTACAAGACAAAATCTAACACTTAAACACATCCTGTATTGCAATTCGTATTAATAAAATGAAAAACCATGTAAATCATATTTGGAATTGAAAATGGTCTTAAAAGTTATTAAGAAAAGGGACCTTACCTAGGTAATAAAGATAATTACCCTGTTTTTTCGTTATAAGCTACTCCTCGTTACTAAGCTATTAGTGAGCCAAAAAAAAAATCACTTTTTTATTCTTCTAAGCTGCTAGCTTATAACGAAAAAACAGGGTAAGAAGAAAAACATTTGTAGAGTTCTAGGATTTTTGAGCTATTTGTAAGGTTCTAAAGAAATTCAAATCAAATTTTACCGTTAAATTTTTAACATAATTTTGTCCATTTAGGTATGTTAATGCAGCAATTTTAAATTTTTTATAAACTCAAAAAGAACAAAATTGAATTTCGCACATAAAAAAATACATTTGGTCATATATCAATAAACAATAATGAAGATATAGCAAAATTCCCAAAAATTGTACGTGAGTGATGCTCAATTAAAGTGATTTTTTTTCGAGTAATTATAAAGTTTCAAGAAGTGAATTGTACAACAATAGATGGGGATTTTAATTCCCTTTTCAAAAAAGTAACTCTTAAATTTGTCACTTTTAAGGATAAGGAGATAATCAAGAATAACAAAGCGTCACTCACATACAATTTTTTTGTGATGAGGCCAAACTATGTTTAATGCTTCCATACGAATTAGTTGGTATTTATAGAATACATTGAACATAATAATCCGATATTTGATGGCTTTCCTAATACTATGGAACTAATATCCAGCTCTATTATTTCAGCATTTGTTTGTGTTAATTTATGCAAAAGATTCTTACGAAAACTAATGAAAATAAATCAAAACGATCATTTTCCATTTCTGCATTTTGCTTGCCATTCCAAAATTCTGCAGATTGTTTATCGTTCTCTCCATCATACACCACAACGACTTCCTTGTCTACTGAATCTAGTTTTAATTCCTCAATGATTTTCTCCTTAATTTCATTCGTCTCGTCTTTGATCTTTGCATAACAATTAGGACATAAGCAATCTCTACCAAGAAAATTTCTACAATTGTTACAGACTTTAATGTAAGGCTTATTTTGTAATGTTTTTTAATCCTCAGATCCTTTACGATAAGAAATTCTAATTTTTCTTGCTTTCCTTACTTCTAATGTTCTTCTAAACACAGGAACTGCAAACAGGAATCCATCGCCTTTTAGATCATTCAATGCATTTCTTAAGTTTTTTTTTTCAAAATGTTCCTGTGAATTAAATTAAACTAAATTATAAGCCTGGATCTAATACGTCTTTAAAAAATATTCGAATCATACAAAACTTACTTTCTTTAATTATTTTGTACGGATAATGGTCATGGCAATTGCTGACATTTCTGATCAGGAATAAATGATTATCACGTTATTAATTAAAATTTTACCACTGAAAAAACTTGTTTAAAACTTCCTTGTTTACTATGATCAATTAAAAAAAATTCAAATTATTGATGACAGTTAAGAGCAAAATTAGTTTAATTAATACGATAAATCTTACTTAAAATAATCGAATCATTGATGTACGTCATACATTTTTACATTTCTGTTAACTACTGACTTGTTAAACAGTTACTTCATTTTTACTGGAAACAAAAATTCAAATTTTATACTTTTTAAAATCAAAGACGACTTTGAAAATTTTCCGTTGAAGTTCAATCCAAAAAATTTCACAAGTGAAAAATTCATCAACGCAAAATTAAAGTTTTTGAAGGAAATATAAGCCTTTAAAGTAAGTATAAAGTGAAATTTGGTACATTAAGTGAAAAGTGAAAAGAAAATTTCAAAATTAATGGAAACTCGAGCGTTTGAGACGAAAAAAATTGATAAAAGATTTTCAATCAAAATTTTCATCTATATTTTTTAATTGAATTCATTTCTTTCTTTTAAAAATGGATAGAGCAACTCAACTAATCATTTTATTTGTATTTTTACTCCCGTTTCACTTGATTTATGTTGAAAAACAGCTAAAATGCCGACTTTCTGTGATTTTTTCTCTTTGCTTTAAGATATTTATACATTTTTCATTTAATTTCTCATATAATGTTTCAGGATTTATTAATCAAGAAATACGTTTCAACAAGCTCTAAGGTCGTCTTCTCTTGGCATTTGTTTTTTGTGAGTTGACATTCGATATGGTAAGTCCAATTTTTTCATAATAAAATCAAGAAAGTTCAAGAAAAATGGGAAGAAAGAAGAAAATTATCACAGCATTAAGGAAAAAATCTCTGCAAATGAAAAAGAGTAATTTCAAGAAAAAATATGAGAAATTGAAGAATAGAATTACAATCAATGCTGAAAAATTCGATGAAAATAGGCAGATTGTTAATCATTCTGATTTTTTCAATATAAATTCAGGAATAGATTATAATGAAAACTGTCCAATTTCTGCTTGTCCGTCAGTTTTATCTCATCTTACTTGTGATGAGAATGAGAAAGAGTTTGATGATGGCACTGATCACATCAAAAATTGTTTAAGACATGTAGCTTTAAAATTTAATATGCAGAAATCTTGTGTCACTAGTTTGTTGAAAGGAATCGGAAAAGTTTATCCCAATTTACCAAAAGATTACAGATCACTACTTAAGACCCCAAGAAAAACAAAGACTAGAAAGATTGTACAGGGAAAGTATATTCATTTTGATTTGTTAAGTACATTAAAAGTTTTATGTCCCCAAAGCTCTAAAGAAAACATAGTGGTTTGTGATTTTTTTGTGGATGGTGTATCATTTTTCGCCGACACTCGAAAAAAAAGCTTTTGGGTAATATTGGGACGTTATCAGGGGAAAATTTTTCCAGTCGGGTTTTTCCATGGGAAAAAGCAACCACAGGATTTTAACGATTTCCTAAAAGATGTAGTGGGGGATATAAATAAATTGTCACAAGGTTTTTATATTGAAAATAACTTATATTTCTTGAAAGTTGGCAATTTTTGTGCTGATACACCAGCTAAAGCACACATATGTCATACAGCTCACGCTACTGGGTATAATTCATGCAAGCATTGTCATATTGAAGGTTACTATAGCCACAGACGCATGATTTTTGATGAAGTTGGTCACAGAAGAAGAACTAATGAAGAATTGTCAGCTCAAACTGATGTTCAGCATCATAGAGGAAAATCTATTCTAGAATCAGAACTAAATCTCGATATGATCAATCAATTCCCAGATGATGTACTTCATATTGTTTATTTAGGCGTTTTTAAGAAAATGTTGAAAAGATTGTTTGGTCAAGATAAGCCAGAATTGCCCAGAAAATGCAGAGAAGCAGTTTCGGAACGAATGAAAACATGCAATCAATTTATTGTTTCCGAAATACACAGAAAATTGAGACCTTTAAATGAAGTGGGATCATACCACGGGAATGAATGCAGAAATATTTTATTAAAGTTGGGGCCAGCTCTATTTTATGGATTGATTCCTTATGAATACTATAGGAACTTTTTGCTTCTTCATGTCGGTATTTCCATTCTTTGTGACAAAGAACTTTGTTTGGTAGAAAATGAAACTGCAAATCTCATACTTCTAAAGTTCATTAATGATTCACTCAATATTTATGGCATTACTTTTGCTACGCTCACTACACATTTACTAGAACATCTCTCTGAAACAGTTTTAGATCAGAAAATGCCATTAGATGCATTTAGCTGCTTTCCTTTTGAGTCATACTTGTATGATATCAAAAGATGCATTCACAAAAAAGGAAAAGTTATACAGCAAATTCATCGGCGCGTCATTGAAAAATTTTCTTACGATGTAGATAATGGTGCCTGTGTCTCACACGCAAGCGAAATTAAGTATATTATACGCAAAAATGAATATAGATCTGTTTTTTTGGATGGGAAAAAGTTTTCAACTGAAGGATGTCGCGATAGATTTATTTTAGATAGGAATAATAAAATATTTGTAATAATGAAAATTTTCAAGGATGATAGTAAATATCCACTTTTTTATTGTCGACAATTGGGAGCTCTAGAAAATTTGTATGTAAAACCGATTGAATCTTCTGTCCTTGATATCTATAAATGTCAAACAAAGTACTGTACTTTTAAGCTTTACAAAATTCCGTATAATGCCGTTAAATATAAGATGCAAGGAATTCCGTTTGATGAATTTTCAATGGTTTTCGTGCCTATAAAAGATTTTTAAACTTGGGTTTATATGTCGTAAAGTCACAGTTACGATCATTTTAAATTAATTTTGTAAATATTTTATATTATTTTTATTATTAGTTTGCTGTAGTGTCTGGAACTTTGGACGATGAAGTATTTGTCGTTCCAAAATCATGGATTTTCGAAGATGACATTAAAGGCATATGTACTTTCTACCCAGAAAAAGGGAAAGTCAAAAATTTGGTAATGACTTCTGTCGAACCTGAGAATGACTGGAAAGTCATTGCAGTATCGTTGCTAAAGGATAATATAGGTAATTTTATAATTCTTTCTTATGTATCAATTTTTTTTTATTTTAATTTCTCTCTACAGCTTCATATCAATTAGCACACGCTTCAATGCTTACTCGAACATTATACAGTAACACAGCGTCAGAAAATGAAGCAAAAACGAAAGCTAATCGTCATAAGAATGCTGTTAAGCGATACTCTTCTGATGAATACGATTTCAATTCTTTTCTGAGCAAGGTAAATTGATAAAATTGTAATTTTGTTTTAATACTTTATGTAATACCTTGAAAATCTAATTTATTTAAAGAAACAAAGACCAAGTAAAGCTGTGACAGAGATCTCCAAAGACGTGAAGCCCAAAAAGGTTAAAAGCGTAGGTTTTTGCTCTGTTTTAAAAAATATTTTGTGTGTTGTTAATTTTAATTATATTATTTGTTAGATTCAGAAACCGAAATTATTTGTACCAAAAATGGATGCTAAATCATCTTCAAACGCTGCTTCTCTGGTAAATATTAAGTTTTGTTTTAATTTTAATTTCATTTCAGTCGGAAAAGTCCTTTTTTAAATAATATAATCTTTTCGTTTCACAGCCATCATCCATACTACCAAAAAAGTCTTCAAAGCCAATCGTTGCATCCTCAAATGAGGACATGGTAAATATTTATTGTTTGTTTTGTAGCAACTCTTATTTTTAATTGACTTTTCTAATCCTTCCTTGATAAGTTTGCAACACAACAATCGGACGATTATAACTCACAAGAATACAGGCAATCTTCTTCACCGAAAAATCATCTATCGAACAAATATGGTGAAAGTTCCAAAGGTTTCACTTTAAGATTGTCTCCACATCATTCTAACGTTAACATTTCTCAGGTTTGTATTTATATTTTATGAGAACATAAGAACATATTAATGGGCCATGACATATTTTCGAAATTTCGTTTTAAAATTCTTGAATCTGTTTTGCACTGCACATAATAATAATAATAATAATTATTCATTTCATATGAAGACACGAAATTAATTGTTTAAAAAATTACAAAAGTCTTCGTGTTTGACGCAGCGATCAGTATTTGATTGATACACAAAAAATCACTAGTTATAGTATATTTAACAATTTATCTTTAATTCTCATATATAAATTTCTGAAGTTCAAATTTCGTAACAGCCATATGCATTTGAGAGTATCATGCCAAAAGTTACAGAAAAATTAAACTTTAATTAATAGTATATATAACAGTTGGTTCTTAGCCTTTCAAAATGCATAGATTCATTAGAATAACTGATCGACTTTAAAAAGTTAAGCATTGATAATTAAATTAAATAATGTGTGCATAAATTACGCAAATGTTTTGTAATTTGTGAATGAATTTTGTAAATTCCATCATGGAATTATCTTTAATCTTTTAAAGATTATGTTAATGCTTTGGTTTATACTTACTTGAAATGACAATATTTTCTCTGAATTGAAATATTTTAGATCGAAAAAGATCAAGAGGTTGATCTTCCCGGTATGAATAAAGATCAGTTCTTAATTTTAAATCAAAAATTGGATGATCTAACAGCAGTCGTCATGAATCTTAATTCTAAATTTTGTAAAATGACTGCATCAGCAAATGTTGACGATGAATTTAGTCCTGAACAAATTAAATCCATCAAAGAACTAAATGAACGTGAAAATCTCTTACTGAAATCACCAAAAGATGAAGATGCAAAAATTCTGAAAAATAACTTGGTAAGTGTCTTAATTTATTAATTTTTATGCAATTTTACATCCACAATGAACTGAATTGTATTTTTTTTTAAAAAATTTTCAACTGTTTTGTAAATGTTAAACCTTAGCGGTTTTGTGTGGTTTGAATTTTACTCCTTTGAGTTTTGCCCTCTTTGTTTCAACATAAATTTCAAAATTGTAAAAACCGTTAAATTGTCAACACAGCATAATGATAAAACAAGGAAGAGTATTAAATCATTGATATAACTTTTTAAAGATTTTACTTAAATAAACAGTTCATTGTTCATGAACAAAGAATATAAGACTAGTAATTAAGGTAATTTTTTAAAAGTGGTCGTCACTAATTAATTGTTTTGTATTTATATTTTAGATAGGATACTATTACACTAAAATAAGAAATCGAAGCTCTCGTGGCGAAGATAAATATGGATTGATGGCATCCTTATGCAATTTGTATTTTGATAAAACTTTAATTCCAAAATTAGGCTGGTCGACGTATGACAGTAAGTAAAAATTATTGCCATAAAGTGTTTTAGTAATTTTTTATTCTTTAGATCGATTCGTCATCAAAAATTTTGATGGGCATTTCCAGCTTTTCTTTGCAATAGTGAATAAAAATTCACCAAATATATACACGAATGTATCTGAAGCTGCTGAACAGGTTCAGGAGTATCTTCGACGATTCCACGAAACTGTAAATAAGGCTGCTCGTGAGTTGCGTCGTGCTCAAGAAAGTAATTATTAATTATACCTTTTGTTCTGCACAAAAAATTTAATTCTCTTCTCCCTTTACAAAAAGATTAAATATACAAACCAAATGCGAAAAGAAGTCGAGACATTCACAATAATTGTAACGAAGATCACAGAAAACGAATAAAAAATAGCTTTCTTTTATTTTAACAAAAATTCTTTTTTTTAATAACTTTAAACTTTCAGCTGAAAAAGTCAAAGCCAACAGACGGCAATCATATGGCAATTAAAAAATTGCCAAAATAATTGCTATAGAAGCGCTTTCAAGGCAATTTTTAATGTTTGCCGTTATGGCAAAATTTTTGCCAATTGGCTTCCAGTTGGTTCTAATTATACTACCACCACAGCACCAACAGAGCGCCAAACCTCCACCACAGCGCCATGATGGCAACATTATATATGAAGCTAATGGCAACGCTGTTTGCCAATTAACTTTTGGCAATGCCAAGTGGATGCCATTAGGCTGCCACGTGGCACTCGTGTGCCGATCGGGAATAGATGATGATAATTGTGATGGCTGTAAGCATATTGATCATAAGAGTCCGAATAGAGTCCAGAAAATCCTACGAGATGAAACGCATTCCCACCCAAGTAGTTTTCGAGAGCGTTTATTGAATTTCACCAGTGCCAATGTAGGTGTTACAAAGTATGGGGAAGCAACAAATAGCAATAATCTCAGAAAGCGTAATTCGGAGCTCGTGCTCGGAACAAATTTTGAGAGTGGCACGACAGCGACAAGCGTGTATAAAAATTGCCAAAGCTATCGCATTTCTAAAACATTCGATTCGTGTGACAATATTTTCTCACAAAAACAGCCGTCAGATCACAATCGAACACATGTGACAAATAAAAGCAATCACTCATTGTCAACGGAATCGGATCAAAAATCAATACCATACAGTTTCCTGGAACGTCCGTCAATGAAGTTGTCTCATTCTGAGGATCAAAATATTAAAGACCTTAAAATTGCGTTATCATCGACTCTTCCAATGGCAAATAATGCAACTTATAATCCTTTGGTTTCCAATCCTACAAACAACAAAGCTCAAACTATCGGAAATTTAAAAAGTTCCAATCTCATTACTCATTCGCAGTCATGCACGTCCACATCATCAACGTCATCGAAAAATGATAAAATATCCTACTCATTGTCGACATCGTCCACGTCCGAATCAATCGTACGAAGACAAAAACAACAACAGCAGCAGCATCAGCAACATTTATTGAATAATCAAAAGGATAGTAGTAAAATGGCGCTAGACGAACAGCCACAGCAGCAAGTCACAACACAATCACAGAGCATTGATAATCAAAATGATAATAAAAACGAAGATAATAAAATGATTATAGGAACATCATGCGATAATAAAGTTGCGTCGTCCAATGTAAATAATAATAACATAAATAACAATGGCAATAATGGAAGTAGCAGACGCAAAGGCAAAGGATCGGAAAGTAAATTGGCCATAGACCTTAATGATCGATCAAAATATACGGAAGAGGTGTCTGTATGATGACAAGACCATTAAAAGAGGATTTGACGTGAGTGTTTGTGTATGCGATGCATGATGAGTGGTTGTGGATGTTGTGTATGTGCTCTATTTTTGATGACGTGACAATGTAAAACATGTGTGTCGATTTATCAAGAGATTTCACTTTCATTTTATTTCAATTTCGCTTCCAAGGAGTACTGCATATAAAAAAAAATCGTTCAGTTCCCTCTGTCTGTTCACGTTCAACATATCTCTTCCTTTACTACTTCCATACTTTCTTTCTTTTGTTAAGTCATTGCTTCGAAGTCGGTATTAAAGCACATCACATACTTTTGTGTACATTCATCCTCACACTACGATTTCTCATTCTTAAGCAAAGCAGTAATAATGGTTGTAGCATCAGCGAGAGCAAAATCTGTAGCATTAAACTTTAACCAATAAGAAAAGGAGCAGAAGAAAAAGCTAAATTTAATTTTACACTTCAGTAAATCAGGACACATTGTAACAAATGCTCTTTGTAGAGAGAAATGATAAATAACAGCAGAATTCCTTTTTACTTTCTCATGTATTACATTCAGCACTGCCAAGTAATTGCAAATTAGATTACTTATATTATTTGTGCCTCATAGCACAACGAACAATTTCTATCCCATTTCCATTCTTCTCGAATGCTATTTCCTCCTTAACATTTTTAATCATAATACAATGTGTATGGATGAGCAAAATCGAACATATAAAGGAGTTGAAGCATTATCAGTTCCAATATTGAAGCGCATTTCCGACAATCCTAGTGATAATATCATTCCGGAATTTCAATTCTGTTCAAAAGTTGTTCCAAAATTGTTCAGACAAGTGAAAACCAAAAACAGCATTCTCAACTCTTTTGCGTATCAACATTTGAAGGAGTCGGACGTAAATGATGTTTATCAAAAGCTTTATTAGGTTGTAATTTATATCTGGCATTTGGTCATTTAGTTAAGCAGCATCCGATAGCTCAGTGCTATGAGAATGTGACTTTATGTCGAAAGAGGTGGGTTCAAGTCCCACTCGAAATCTTTAAAAAAGAACATGTTCTAATCCTGACCAATATTTACAGCATTTTAAAGTGCTCCCACTTGGGTTGCATAGCTCTCGTACCTCTAAATGTAAGAAGTCGTAAATATAAACGACCCCAAAACGAAAATCAGAAAACGACTTAATTAAAACAGACAATCAAGTGTCGAACAATACTGCTGTTGTTTCTGCTTCCATTGCAGCTATAAACTCCAATATTTAAATGCTATTATGCTCTGCTCAGGTATGAGAAACAATAAGTGAGTGTTGAAATATTGAACAATGGATACAAAACGAACATTAATCCTTTGAATTTGTGATGGAAAATGTGCTAAAGATGAAAGTTGGAAACGAGCAATGTGCTTGATCGAAAAACTTTTCTTTTATTCTTTTCTCAATCCACACTTTTCTTTCTCCTATTTTTGTTGTTGTTGTTATTATTCTTGTAGCTAATATTTGTTTACGTAAAAGCGCCATAAGCACGAAAGCACACAAAGAGAGTAATCGAGAAAATGTTTACTTATTGAAACTTTATTATTTCACAATATTTAAATAATTGCGATATGAAGTGTGAGTATAATCAGGAACAGAAAAAAATAAACATCAATAAAGACTCTTTTTTTTGATAGCTCATAATTAAAAATTTATCAGCAATGTTGTCGCAGTGAATTTATAAAGAGTAAGAAGAGAACCTGTTTAATATTGTTTCCAGGGTTGTTATCTGGTAACATTATGGTATTAGCGAGGAAATATTCGAGTAAAAAGCTATTTTGACACAGATACATGCTTAGACCAAAAAGAGCTGTGCTGTGCCTAGTGATCTTATATTGACGTAATACAATGCTAAGACCCTCACCCTATTCCCCTATCAAAAGTGTGGATATGGCTCGAAGAGCATATCTGCAGGAGATAGGCCTGAGCATAGGGCTCGCGTTGAAGCTGGTTATGTGTGTATGACGGATAGCCGAAGTGAGATAAGTACCTCAGTGATCAAGTGGCGGGGATCTCTAATCGAGTGGTCAGAGATCGCATCTTTTGAGGTCGTGGGTTCGATTCCCATGGACCCCGACTTGTTTTACATTACTTTATGTGAACACATATAGCAGTTATAGGGAGATCTACCTATAGACGTGCCTAAAATGTGATCTTTTGAATAAACCAGATCAAACACAGTCTCAATAAGCTTATCCTGTTTATGGTTTATCCAGTAAACTTAACATATCGTTGAATAAGGTCATCTAAATAATTATTCAAGAGGTTATTACTGCTTAGGAACTTAGATTTTTTTTGAAGCTTTTCCAGATTCCGTGTGCATAAGCTCTCTCTGAGTTTATTTACATTAGCACAGTTCTTTTAAGTCTGAGATAGGCATTAATCTAAAGTATAGCTGCACATTTTTCTAAATCAGAAAAAAACCTTCTTAACTGCTTATACTTGTGGCTCCTTAAAATATCTAGACAAACAACACTGTTTCTGTATTTAAGAAGCACAAATAATTCAAATGCGGAACGAAAACGCGCGACGAAAATATTTTCCTCTCTCCTTGTTCCTTGAGTTGTGTTATTCGAGATGGAAAGGAGAATATGTATTTATATGAGTATTTTTTTTTGTTTGCGGTATTTGCTTATAATATGTATGTGTTTTATGCTTCATGCTTCATCTGTTGTTGTGTGAAGGAAAAATATTTGCATTTTTGAACTTGAGTGAACGAGAAAAAGAAATCAAAAAAGTTTCTTTCCATTCCATATTGTTGTGTTCAATGATGAAAATCATCAACTGTCGTTATTCATATGAAATATTGGGCATGTGATAAAATTACGTAAATGCTAGAGACTTTTTTAAAAATAATGATAAATATGTAGGGTAAGTTTTTAAATATGTACAATGTATAGACACACAAAAAGTGAAGATGAAAAACAAAACTGCCTTCAAATTAATTTTAATTAAAAATAATAATTTTTTCATTTCAAAGTTAAGGAACAAATAAGAAAGAATCTTGATGAAAAATATTTTTCGATTTTGTATTTACGTAATTTTAAGAACTAAGCCCTCCTTAAAGCACTTACGATAAAGTGTATTGTAAATTATTGAGCCCCCTAATTTACAGCAATTGTTGACGACAGTTGATGAGACTCTTTTTGATTTTAGTACAAATGGATCATTTTTATTTATTTAATGCAAAGCTACAAAAACTGTATGAAAAACATATCGCTGTAATTTTTGTAAGTAATACATAACATCATGTCAAACTACTCCTTGGGACTTTATTTTAGTAGACATTTTTTAATAGATAAATATATTATTAGAAGCGAATTAGAGTTGTTATCTGGATCTTGTTATGAAGAATCTTATCCTAATATGTTCTGAAAGTGTGGACATTTTGTGATGAATTTTGTTGGTTTAAATGAAGATTCAAATTTGAAATTGATGTTCTAAAAATGAAATCCTTTTTTGGTAATCATCTAAAGCTATCAATTAGTTTTACATTCTGGCCATTTTTCTGGATCAGATAAATTCTGAGACAGAAATTTCTTCATAAAGATCGATTCTATATGAAGATAGAAAATCTAATCTACACAAAGATTATAAAGATTCGATGTAGATGTCTATAATTCTACATTCTTCTCTGATGTAGACCTTGAAAAAATGTAGAATTGTAGACATCTACATCGAATTTTTATGAAAACAGAATCTTTATGTAGAAATAATCTTTGTGTAGATTAGATTTTCTATCTTCATGTAGAATCGATCTTTATGAAGAAAGTTTCTTAGCTAGACAAAAACTATTGAAGAATCTACATTCTTCATCTAGTGTAGACATCTACATTTGCAACACTGCTATCAATATCAAACATCAATACAAACTGAAATCCATTCAATACACAAATAATGAGATTCAACAAAAAAAAACATTGTTGCGAAGTAGATGCAAATTAATCTAATTATCTTTGTATCTTATGGCTGTTCTGAACTAAACAAAAGAATTTTTCATCCGTATAAAACTAATGTCGATTCTTTGAAGCCAATCATGCGTTTTTAAGACTAATTTGACTTTGAGAATCTATTTCCTTTTGCAAATTGATTCTAATTGAAGTCATTGATTCATTTAGATTTAAATTTTGCTTTCCAAAATCATCCATTATAGACTCTTTGATGCTAATTTGATTCTCTATCAAAACCATATGAAATCATTACAAAGTTTAAACATTATTCCGAATTAAACTAAAAACAATCACTTCCATAGATTCAAATAAACATTGGATCCAAATAACAACTCTTATTCAAAAACATAGATTTAAAAGCAAGGGACGAATACTTCATAAAATAACTTTAAAAAAAAATAAATAAATAAAAATAATATTTAAAAACAATGTTTCGTGAATAAATTGCTAGGTGCATAATAGATATAAAATAATTATATTTAAACTCATATATCAAGAAATCAAAAAGATCAAAAAAAAATATATAAAAGTGTAATGGGACATGGAAGTGAGAGTATTATCATTAATTGTGTTGAATGTAGCACTAATGGGGAAATACGAGAAATTTTGTTACAAACATTTATAGAATTGTTAAAAAAATATTTGTGCTCCATATTCTTCGAATAATAATAAAATTAAATATTAAAGTAAAAATAAAAAAATTCAATAAATTCGCTTGTTTCTGATATTTTGTAAGAAAGTTATAGAGCTACATTTAACTTTTTAAAAAAGTTAAAATGAAGAAAATTTTTATTCATTTTTTTCTAGGAAACAATAAAGTTTATATTTTTCTCCGTTTTTTTTATGAAAATGAATTTTATTGTACGTTAAGATTTCTTATAGGAAAGTAATAAAGTTTAAACAAAATTTCATTTATACTGTAAATATGATAATGAAGATGAGAAAGAACAAAATAAAAACTTGTACGTTCACAAAAAGCAGAGAACTTTCTTATTACTTTTATTTTAAGCATTAAGCTATTCTGTTTTGTATCTTTTTCATAGGAAAAAGAAAAGATTTTTCGTGAATAAAATTTACATGTATTTTTTTCAGTAATTAAATGGACTTTCGCAGACATAAACTTCACAGCATTCCAAATCTTTTATGATGAATGTCATCTGGTGTCGTTTGTAAATGATGTCAATTGAAAATTAATTTTTACATGCTCTTCCAAATATATTACAAATTAAGTTTTATTTTCCAGACCATTTCAGTTGTTTTAGACGCTATAAATTATGATAAATAAAGACCTTCAAGGTGTGAAATCACTAGACTTTGAACAAAATCTAATGACTATTTTGACTTAAAACTATTTGAATCGATTGTAGAATCTGTAAATGGTGCGGAACTGATAAATTAGATTTGGATCAATTTTGATCGTTTTTGATCATTTTTGATCATTTTGATTAGTTCCGCTCCCTTGGAATTTGCTGAACTAGCTGAATTCAGCCTAATTGTTGGTCAAAAAAAACCTTTACCTATTTAGATCAATTGTGATCCAGAGGTGCGCTAGGGCGTTTCGCAGCTAATGAGAGTTTAACGAGTGGGGATGTGCCAAGCCACTGCACTCAAACCTATACCTACAATTTATAGTGGGATCCAAACCACTTCTTGCTGACATTTCTGCCTGTAGCTTACAAAAAAAGGCTATGAGCCTCATTTCCAGTACATATGATTCGAAAAAGGACAAGTGAAAAATTGTTGGTGAATTTACCATAAAAACATATTACTTCCCACAATTTAATAATGAAGATCGGTTGCAACTCCATGTTAGATACATAGCCAGGCTGTCAATCTATATCAATTTTCAATTCGTTATTCCATGTCAATCATCAGAGTTTGTGTCATTTTTCGATCTTAAATAAATTGTCAGTCTAGTCCAGTGTTGTCCAAACTTTGTGCCGCGGC